AAGAGTATAATCATGTCCCATATTGCTACCGCGAGACACAAACAAGGAAAGTCCCGTTTGGACAGGGAAACTCAGAGGCAGAAGCTGGTCAAGGAGTCCTTCTTGGCGTATCAGAAACGACTTGGGAAGACTCTAGCTGGCACCGGTCTTACTGAGGCCGTTAGTTCAGCCGAGTCTCTGCGGCGGATCCAGATTGGGCGTTCTATGTTGCATAGCATGGGTGCAATATTATAGCGTTTTTCTTAGCCCAATACCGCAAGGTTCAGGTGTTTATTTTCCATCCGGCGGAGCTTTTATCAGCATTATTTGGAGCATTATTTGGCCTTTTGTGGAGCATTACTGAGAGCATTATATCCCATATTACCGAGCATTATCCGCCAACACCTAGTGTAGTGTGTTTTCACGCTGCACTCTGAAGATACCGCGCTCAAGATCTACACTCAGACTACAGGTACATAACGCCTCTCATAGCATTATCACTCGTCCGATGATAACGTGCCAGTTTGTCTTCTCATTACACCATGGCCGAGCAATGACTTCAAGAACCTCTCCGATCTCGGAATCCCACAGGGAACGGGGACGAGCCACATGTGCAGCATTTCGCACAGTAGAATCTCTTTAATAGTGGTGACCAGGGAGTCGTTTGGTTTGGGTACGGCTCCCTGGTGGAGACTGATTGTCGTCCACCGGACCTTGCAGTAGAATTGTTACCCAATCTGCGGACATGTTTGTTATGTAGAGATTCTGGAGAAGCTCTGGAGTGCTGACCAATCTCCGTTCCGAGCCCTGCCACCTTCAGTTCTGTGCCCTGCTAAAAGCGCATCATGGCTCCGTTTAAATGCTTTTCGGCTAGTGTGTTTCTGTGGTATAGCGGACTGAAGAATAGTAAACGTGTTTTGCAATATAATGTATGAAGCTATTTTGTATATAGTATGTTCCCATTCCGTTTTTGCTTTGGTGTAGCCCTGAGGTTGATTGCTCATTTATTTCTACCCTTCCTCTCTCCATACTTCTGCCCCCCCCCCCCTCTCTCTCATTCCTTCTGTCGTCCACATGTATCAAAGGAGGCGAAATCGCCTGTTTGTGGTGCGACGTTAAATAAACTTCTACAACAACAACAACAATCAGCATCCACTTTGACCCGAGCCCATGTTAAGTGGAGAATGGAGAATTTTTTAATTTTATTTTTTACAAAAAAAACACACACCATTTGACGGCACAAAGCAGCAAGGCAGCGATGAGACATATGGAATGGCAGGAGTGGGGAAGAGGCAGGGGCAGCTTGACCGACCATAGGGTCTCGGCTTCATTGCAACCCAAGCGCTCCACAAAAACAAAACATTATTACAGAAAATACGCAGAGGGGGGGGGGGGGTAGATAACTGGGGATTACGGGGGAAAGTCTGCACAATAAAAAGTTATCAGAGAGTCAACGAAGTGAATGGAGGAGGGAACGGAGTTAGAGCTTTTTTTCGTCTTTTTTCTTTGATTCATAGCCTGGCCGTTGCCCACTCCCAGCGGGTAAGGCGCAGGTGGGCATTGACCTTTTCTTTGAACGTCTGCAGTCCTTTCCTTGTTGGCTGGTTCAGCAGAACGCACTGCGGGAGCTGGTTCCAGAATGCACACATGGATACGATACGAGTTATAAGCAAATGTCCACCACTGTAACTAGAATACATGTATGTACGGTCAGAAAGTGCGACTATTGGTCACCAACCTGACAGAGTTGTACTGTTGAGGCAACGAACTGAAAAAAAGGAGAGCACTGACACATTCAACGACCTGAAGTGAATGTCGAATGTTTCAATACTCTTACTAGTCTTAGTGCCACTGGTGGTGTCAGTTTGGTGTCTAATCCCATAATTAATTCTCACACGTTCTGGCCGTATACTTCGAGTAATATCGAGTTTCATTTGTGGAAAGTGTCGGTTGCATAGCTGGTATCCAGGTGCACCTTTTTTTCTTTTTTCCGCACTCTGACCTTCATTCAAAGTAACAGTTATCCTGCAGCATGTACAGTGAAACCTGTCTAAGACGACCACCGCTCAAGGGACCTTCAAAACGTGGTCTCTGTAGCCAGGTGGTCTCCTTAGCCATGGTCGTTTGACTGAAAATAGCATACCTTGGTCCTAATTGCAGTGGTCTTCTTGGACAGGTGGTCGCCTTCTCCGAGTGGTCGCCTTGACAGGTTTTATTGTACATGTATGGTTCAGTTACATGTTGGTATGGTATTGATTTATTTGAATTCGGTATATCAACAGTACAATGTACAACGTGTTTGTCTTGACGTTTTGGGAAGCAGAAAGGCATTCGAACTGACACTTCTTCTAAATGAACCTGGACGATGCCTCACCCTTACGTCTGAGTTTGGGAAGCAGTTGTCGTTTGGTACTGCGTCCAGACAGTTCAATGCCCACAACCATCCCATTCTAAATAAAGAATACAAACAACAAACGAACAACCCCTAGCCCCTACTCGCACAACCCGCAGCCTTTCGTGACTCGGGCGATTCTTCTTTCCCGGAAAGGCGAAACAAAGCAGTACTCTTCATGTGGTGAAACCGGTCTGTGATATCGGCCATGGCAATGAGTCATTTCTTCATGTCGACTCATTGGTCACTGGTGTGCGCGTCAACCAATATCTGGCAACTATTACTTAGTTGAGTTGGAACTTCAGAAGTTCTGAAGTACGTGCACAGAGTTCGTGAATGTTTCCCTGCAGCAGACAGACCATCCTAACATTGCGAAACTGCCACGAGTACTGAGTACATATTCCAGATGGTGATGTCCGCTGCAGACATGACACAACCTAGTCACATGCAACCATGCAGTTCTCTTTTACAGTCAGGATTGCTCACTGAAATCTGATCCTGCACGTCAAGGAGGCATCGCCGGGCGCAGTGCAGCCACAGAGCTGTGTGCACTGGGCTTGAGAGAGCTAGACTCAGTCATGATGACACCTTCCATTGGTGATATTTGCACGCGATCTCGTTAGGTTTTGAGCAGGGAGCCTTGAAAACCCTGGGCTTTTACGACTCCCTGGTTTTGACATTGTACACTACATGTAAGTGGCACCACAATAGGTAGGTCACCCTCTACATGTAACAGTTGCACTGGTGCAGGGCATGGCATACTTGCCTGAGCCGAACGGATTTCATTGTTTCATTGAGCAGCAGTGTCCTGTGTACATGATGTGTTTACCTACTCAGGAACTGAAGGCAGTGTGGAACCGAGAAAAGATGAAAAACACGTTATACTCTTAGCGCGAGAGACGCTCGTCTCCACTTAACCAGCCCGCGATTTATCATAATTATCAGGTTATTAGTACCAAGACATCCCACAGTGACACCCACGTGGAATCATGTACGTAATAATGGATGTCAATTGAAAGTTACCCTATCCACTATGGGAATCAACCGTATTGCGTGACCGATCCTTTCATGCAATGTCCTGATCTTTGCTTTTTTTTCCTTTTCCATCTGGACTACTCTTTGATCTTCCCTTTCCCTCTAACTATTCTCTTCAATCTCTTGTGCCTTCTTGCCATTATTCACTAGGATGGCACTCAACTTCATGTTCAACACTTGTGTCGAGTCAGAGCAACTTCCGGGAAGCCTTTCCGTGGCTTGGGCGAAATAGAGCAAGCTTCAAAATCGCTCCTAGCGCTGGTGGAGACGCGGTATATGTACTTTAGTGACCATGTATGGTGAGGTATTGCTCTTACAGAAAATAAAAAGGACCAAGGAACTACAAGTTACAAGTATAATGTCCACTAACACCACCAGTTACTAAACAATCAGCTCATGCGATAACCATGCACGACACTGACCGACGGTACTGACCACCTTGTTTCATGCTGTCAAACCAACAACATGTGTGAACTAAAGCAAGGTTTATCTATTAGTATAGTAATACCATGTACAATGTACTTTCATCAACCTCCATCCCAGTCTCCCCTCACTTCCCCTTTCCCTCTACCTCACTCTTACAATTTTCTCACCTGCATCCACCGTGCACCACCATGTCACTATCAAAATAATGAGATAGACACCACAATCCACATGTTTTGCGGTGCGACAAAATGCAACAAGCACGACGACAACAACCATCGTGAGGAATAGGGCTTGAAAGTGATGACGTCAAAAACGGCCTGGGAGTAGTAAATTGACATCAGATTTCTATTTTGGATCCACTAAGGTGTGACTTTGCTATTGCCTCAGTATGTGGGTGCATAGCAACCCACTCATGTCGTATGCAGGTGCAACTTTTACTTCGCCACCAGTTGTCACCCCGCCCCCACTAGCCAAATCAGTCAGTTTCACTGGCAACATCACCTTGCTGTGAGTGAGACCGCTTGAAATGTGCTTGGATCCATACAAAAACTGGATCCAGGTGGATCCAGTTTTCGAATTTTTCAAATTGTTGCTATGCCATTGCTATGGAGTGACGTAGCACTTTCAAGCCCTATGGGACGTCTCGAGGATCATACAGTTTCGTCGTAATGACAAAGAGCCATACCATGTGTACGCCCGTCGCAAGAGAAGCACGCAAATCTGCAAATGCACTGGATGTGCACCCACAGATTCTCTCTTATCACGTAACCTCGTTTTGGCAATATTTGCAACGATAGCGAACAAGATCTGAATGAGACAGATCAAGATTTGCGCCAGATACAAAAATACAGTAGTACAATCATGTACTAGTAGTAGTAGCCGGAACCTAGCGGAGGTACATGTACATGTACATGACTGGCATGTGTACGTGTGCCACTGCACTGCTGCTCTAGCAACTCGTTCCCTAGCGACAGAGCATGGCTTTTCGTTTCATCCAAACGAATCATGTTTATGTGTCGCTCCTTTGCCCTTTCATTGGGACTACCTAGCCTTCACGTACTGGATGTACATAGCTAGCTGTCGCAGCTATGCGGTGTGCATTACACCTCCACGTGATCATTGGCCATCAAGCAAACACACGCATACACCTATTTTTGAGCTACGAAAACTCAAACAAAGTCAAAGACGTTCGCTTCGGAATTCCATTTCTTTCCTTGTTTGTTACCCGGGCTAGCAATAACTAGCGTTAGATCGATGGTCAGTATTTCGGACGTCGTGTCCAGCGCTAGCAGTGGCTTTGGTCGATGACCTTAGGGTAACTGGTTGTACATGGTGCGCCCGCTGCTAGACAAGGTACCTTCCACTCTCTAGCTCTGTCCGTGGGCGTAGATCTACGCGGTTCGTTGCCACAATCGAGGTGCTAGATCTACATCGTTAGCGCTGAGAGCTAGACTGAGAGCGAAGTCGAATATTTCTGGATGGCTGATCAGTGATCTGTAGCTCGGGGCACTCGACTCCCTCTCTCTCGACGCGTGGCCCCAAAAATAAGATAGACGTCTAGACGTAATATATTCGGTTCGTGGATTAGATCAAAGAACTAACGACAGTAACGACTTACGTTACTTCTCCTGGACCTGGGCGGCTACGGCTGGGAAGAACAGCTAGCTCAGTTGCTGTACTGACTGACCACAGTTTGTTTCTTGAAGTTGAAACTAACTTTTGAAACTCATTTTCCGATCAGCGGAAGGCAAGGTGGTGGACCTGGCGTTAGCACCTCCGAAGAATCAGTTCACTGCAAATCAAGATGAGCGACAGCCGATCCACGGTGAGCAGAACCTCCTCCGGCGGTAGTCTCGCTAGCGCTGCAAGTGCGAATGACCGGCAGCCAGCAGCTGCGACGCATCGACGTGTTCGCACCGTCTCCGCTGATAGACCATTGCGCGGCGGGTCGCCCGATCAAGGGACGTCCGACGAGCAGCCGCGTCGCCGCAAGGGGCGAAGTCGCACCGTCTCCGGCGGTAAAACGTTTCGCAGCGGGCCACCGAGCCCGACGCCTGAGGAGCGCCGACAGCTAGAACAGTCATTCGTCCTGGACAGTGTGGCGCTAAGCATGCGAGCAAATGCCGAGCCGAATCGCACCGGTCCGTCCATGAACATCGGTATACCTCAGTACAATGCGCAGCATGATGAACACGCAAAGACCTACTTCAAGTCAAAAGGGGTGGATAAGACCCTGGAAACGACACATCAGGTAGGCGCTTGTGCTCATTCAACTGCCAGAAGATCGACCCCACCAGTCCATGGACATTGCTAGAGATTGGGACATGCACGAGTGGAAAATTGAAGAGAGAATAGACATGGTTAGCATTTTATCGTTCACGCTAAATCCAACGGTGTTCGTACCCAACACCCACAAATACCGTCGGTTTGGTATCGTTTCGACGATAGAAAGCTCTGTTTAGCAGGAGAACGGCACAGTAAGATTCCAACCAGGGCTACGTCACAAGTCGATCGTTGTGTCAGAAACCGAAATGCTAACCATGTCTTGAAAACACACAAAAAAACGGTACACGCTGACGGTCGGAGTTAGCGTGAACAGTAAAATGCTAGCCATGTCTAGTATTACTGGAAATCAACCAACCAGTGTGGCTAGACCTTGGCGGATAACGCTTGATAAATTGGCCGATTCTGCTCGAAAAGCAATAGTAAAATCGGCAGAACCGTACAAGCCTTATGGCAAGCGCTTCATTGAATTCTGCTCAATTTCTTTACCTACATGCCAAACATGTATTTTTGGAACATACCAGAAAAGGAATTCGGGTGGACACACCCAGTCCCATAGCGCTACACATCCGAACCAGTACCGCTGTTTTACAACGTATTACCTGACGATGGCCAAGTGCCGAAACGTTGTAAAATAACGGAATTGGTTCGGATGTGCAACGCTATGGGAATGGGTGTGTCCACCCGAACTCCTTTCAGAAATGAAGCTGCAGGAAGCCTCAGCCCTTCTTCATACCAGAACAAGTACCAAATTCTGCCAATTGTTTCTGCCGGCATTATCCGCCATGGACTAAGCGTGGCTGGTTTCACAGGTTTTGAATTTGCTGTGCCTGTGGTTCCAATGGCGAAGCGGTTGAATGGAAGAAATAGTAATGTTCTTTCAAACTCGCTTGTTTTAGAGACGATCAATGTACTGCACAGTATGTTGTGTGGTCTATGCATCCTCTGTAAAGCCAAAGCGTGAAAAAATGTGCCCCCAAAATGTGACCATGGCCCCGCCCTCCTGATTGGTGTGACTTATTTCATAACCGACCATACCACTGGCGATCTATGCTTTGACTATCGACTGCCAACACCTCTCAGTTTTCCCTACGCTGCGCTTTGTGTGCATGTAGCCGTGGTCATGTTCATTTTTGTTTACCCCCCCCCCCCCCCCTCTCTCTCTCTCAGACCCATACAACTAGCAAACTTCAAAGCAGAATACGTTGTGCGCGAAAGACTATGCGAATTGGTTTCCTTGTCGTCATAGTAACATTGAAATTAATTTCTGCAAGTAACCAATTGACTGCGTAGTTTTAACCAGGGATATTTAATACGGTATTTTACTACTCCCTGGCGTTAAGTTAACTGCGCGGATAACTACACTGTTCGCACGCCCGACCTTTCTTGGATCACTATTCGTACGGTTTACTGTATCCGAAAGCATACTGCAACACATCACATGGAGCCTAATGACCCCATCTGTAGTCTACCTATGCGGCGGGGCTTGCACCTGCACAAAGTTAGCTCACACAGTGGTACACTATGTGTAGTGAACTGCAAAACCACCGGCCTGCATCAGGGAGATTGAGAAAAGTCGGTGTGGAAGGATACTAAAGTTTTGAAACGGCTGCGAGACCAATAGACGGAGTACGCCAAAGCCAAGCAGAAGGTACGCAATTCTGTTACAAGCTGCTGGACCCGGGCACCCTGCCGCATCCGCAGCTCGACTGATACCACCACTGGAGGATCCGACTGGTAATCCTGCCCACCCTCCTCCTTCCTCAGTGACTTCCATTCCCTGCATTCGGTGTCATGTAACTGGGCTTCTGAGCTCACTACTACGAATTCAAATAAAGATTACAACTGCAACAGCAACATCCACCACTCCTGTCACACTCAGTGACTGCCGTCACATAATAGTATTATACTAGCACTGCAGAGCCGTTCACTCATCTACAGTTGCGCTCAGTGAAATCCGACCCAGATTGCATAAGTCGCGCCCTCAACTGTAGCGAGTCTTTGACGCCTTGGAAGAGCGCACAAATGCGGCTGGTCATACACATGCACCAATACAATGATGTAATCGGAACTGATCCAGGGCCGCTAGCTTTGCACTTTGGGTCGGATTTCACCGAGTGCACTGTACCTTTCTCCAGGCAGCTTTGCTGGAAGAAGACATCTTTTGGAGGTGAGCCTTGCTAAGCTGGATCATCACTCACTGAGGGAATGTATCTCGTTGATGCATCAAAATGGACTTTATGTTCTATCTTCAATCAAGAGAGATGATGCCTATTGGTTGGGTTTCTCCAAACTTTGGACAAAAAGAGAGCCTACCATCAAGTTCTGTGCAGACCATCACACATTTACATTCATCTTCCTTTAGAATAATTTTTGGTTGGGGGTGGGGGATCAGCAAGCAGGAGTGAGAGGTGTTGCGTCTCTCAAACCAGGAGGTGTAAGTCACGAAGTGTCATCAGCCTCCACAGTGCATCATAAATACTCTGACGCCTCCGTAGAGGCGACAGGTAAGGATTATCCCTTACTGATGATGAAGATACACAACGTTCGGTCTAGTCCCATGAGTTAGAACTATATCCAGTGGCAGTCATTACTAAACCGAAGTGAGTCTGCACACCACACATATCTGGTAACTATACCAAATTACCCATACCCATACGCCTAGCAAACTTCAAAGCATATGTTGCGCGTGAAATACCATGCGGATTGGTTCGCTTATCGTCATAGTAACATGGAAAGGAATTTCTTTACTTCGATGTACCGTAAAATCCCGCCAGAGCGCCCCTACCTCCTCGACGCTTCAGGTGGGGAGGGGCGGATGGGCGAGTCCTACTTGCCGCATTCAGTACTACATGGAAAAGTGCTCACTCTACGAAAACTGTTCGTGCATCTCGTACACCGACCAAAGGTCAAGAGCCAGGGGTCGTACAGACCCATCAAAACTCAAGGGTTTGTGCGATCCCTGGTCAAGAGGGTGGGCACTGTTGCGTACATTTCCAACGGGGTTGAGCATGCGTCTGCAGTACAGTACGGCATCGCAGACTGTGACAGAGTCATACGAGGATACAATCAATCACGTCCCTGACAAGAAGTCAGGGAGGGGCGGATGGGAGAGACGGGGCGCTCTGGTGGGATTTTACGGTACTACCTTACAACAGCGCTACCAACCACCTTTATCTTGTACATTCACACACAGGATCCCAACTCACCAACTCCGCCTAAGCGAAGTGCACCAAATGCAGTCAACGGCTACCGTAAAAGCCCGCAATAAGGCAATGGGTGGAAACTAAGGGTGAAACGATTTTACCGAATACTCGAAATAGAAATCATTACAAGTTAACGAATCGATTATTCGAAAATGGGAGACGGGGACAGGGCGAGACAGGGCGCTCTAGCGGTACTTAACGGTACTACTAAAGTACAGGTACGTATCAGGTTAGCACAGGGTACTGTGCACTACATTATACTACAGTACCGTACATTCACGTGGAGCTGGATATGCACTGCACTGTGTGTGTGTGTGTCTCTCTCTCTCTCTCTCTCTCTCTCTCTCTCTCTCTCTCTCTCTCTCTCTCTCTCTCTCTCTCTCTCTCTCTCGCGCTCTCTCTGTCTCTCTCGCTGTCTCTCTCTGTCTGTCTCTCTGTCTCTGTCTCTCTCTCTCGCTGTCTCTCTCTCTCTCTCTCTCTCTCCTTCTCTCAGGCGAATGGTGGCTCATCAATGCTTGGTGTGGTGTGGGATGAGTACGTCGCTGGCAGCCATAGCCTGTATGAATTGGCGGAACGCAATGCACAGGGCGCTGGTAAGGCGGCTGGCTACCTTGACCACTGCTTGTAGCGGGGTACTGTACATAATGCATTGTACATGCCACTCCTTCTAATCTTGCTTCAAGGGAAGAAACCTCCATGTGACGTTTCCTTTTGTTTAGTTAACCCTCTACAGGTACTTGTAGTTTGCTTGCCGTTATCTTTGGGTCTCTTGATTAATCAGCTCACATTCTTTTTTTAACCTCCCTTTCAAGTCTTTTTTCCTCCCCCCCCCCCCCCCCCCCATAAGCATCTATTTTCTTGGAGAGTGTTTTACATACATATGAATGAATGAAAAAAGGGAATGAGACAGCTGCATAACCGTCATTGTACAGTGCAATGGGAGAGTGATGTACTGCAAGGATATCATTGAGGCCCCATGGTGAATCGTGTGCTAGTCACGTCACTGTTTCAAGTCTTCATTCAGGTTCAAAGTGTGCGAGAGGAGAAATAGCGCGGCAAGGTTGAGTGGACGGTGGGGTAACGCCCACTTAAACGTGTACGGGCAGGGGTGAGCGCCACACGAGCATACAGATTTAGGGAGCAGAATTGTACAAGTAATGGTTATTTTAGTTATTTATTGTTGTTTCAAATCTTTATTCTCATGAAGACCTGTGACGTTGTTGTTGTCTCCCTATACCTGCAGGACATGACTTCCACGAATCCGTATGTGGTCATGACATTCCCATATCAGAACCGTTCAATGGTTACAACGGGGTAAATGGCTACCGACGCAACACCTGGCAACTGCGTGGTGCTCCCTCATCATTCGGTAAGTCGGTAATGCTCTTGCTACAGGCATGAAAGTAAATTATCTGGGATATTAAACAACCCAAATTTTGCATTCTTGTTGGCGGTGATTTTTCGCGACACCGTGTTCGGAGAAAAGGCGTCCGTGAAGGCTTCGCAACGCTGCCATTTTCGTGAAAATCGTACTAGAAGTCTGTTGAAGTTTTCGAACCCGGTTGTCTAACAGGATTCATTTCGGTTCTTGCTGTGCTATTCCCACAGGATTTCAAGGTCAACCCCAACAGCCTAAAGCATCTGTTCGACTAACCGGCAGCCTCTACGACTAACCGGCAGCCTCTACGACTAACTGAATCTCGCCGTGGACGTTCCTGGACTACACGTAGAAGAAATGGCTAGCCAGGTAAAGAGAGACGCAACGCGGGCAAGGCAGCGCAGTGGAAGCGGTCAATATGCTGACGTGGGATTAGTTCAGTGTCGATCAGCAGAGCTCTCGCGAAGTGACGTGGTTCGATGAGCTCGGATGGACACACCGAATGCTGCAACAAGCAACCCTAACATGTCCTCTGCAGAATACGTGATGAGAAAGATGAGCATGTAGCTACACTGCAAACTGTACCCGTATAATGTAGCTATAAACAGAACCGAGCAAGCCTCCTCAATACTACAATGAAGGCCACCACTGTACATAACACTGTACATATGAATGCAAGTGACAACACTCATACATGTACATGGTGGTGGGACAGATGAGCAAGTAGCTCCACTGCAAGCCATGCCTGTATAATGTAGCTGTAAACACAACCCAGCAATACTACACAGCCCAGGCCAACACTGTACATATGAATGCCAGTGATTTAGATTAAATGCGAGCTATCCCCTCCCCCCCCCCCCCCCCCTCTCTCTCCACATTGCACTTTCCCATGACTAATACAGTTTTACATCAAAAGCTATGAAATACGATTGTTGATCAATTGCTACTTCACTTTTCTTCTTCGGAAAGCTTTATCAGTTTTCCATGCTCTTCCTGCGTTGTATAAGGACAACTTTGCATGGTAAATACTTGGTTCAGGTCTAAAAAAATAACAATTTTATGACTACTCCAGGAGTTGTTAAAGTTGAAGGGTAATATGAACAGTATCGGAGCTGAGAAACCACGGGGCTCATAAGTAAATTGACTCAGCAAGGGTTTCTTGAGATCACCGAATCAAGCAGCACGTCATTGGGCGCCCTCTCGAGTCTTGGCTGCTTGTGCGTTCAGCCACACTTACACACTGGAACTTGGTGTAAGTGCGGGTTGCCAGAATCACGCACAGGACTGTGGCCAGACCCGGAGTCGTTGGCTCATGGCGGCAACGTCTGGCGATTCAAATACAGCAAGCTGCACGAGTACTGCAGCCATCAGTAGAGGTTAGAATCCGTTTGCTATTTGCCGACGGAGCACATGACAGTGTCGGCCGAATGTCAGAACCGGCTTCCCACAGCATCATGTCATCGATTGGCACAGGTCCACGCCGTGATAGCATCAGGTTCACTTGCCACTAGCGGGCTATTCGTCGGGTCTGCACAGCGATGTCACTCGTCACCGCCGAAACTGAAGCGAAACGGTGCGTCCTCGCTCTGCACCGATACACACACACACAGCACGGACCGCACTTAAGTGAGTTGCTACAGCACCCATCACAATCTTCTACAGACATGTGCATGTGGTTTCGCCAGGAGTACACAGCCCCCCCCCCCCCCCCCAAGAGTGTGGAACTCCACTATGGGTGCTGTGCCGACAGAATTTCAAGTTGACGTCGTTTTTATGACGCAATGCACAGTGTACACGTATACTGAAACATATCCTGGACCTGCGGTGGACAAGTCTGGCTTGATCTTGTACAAGGAAACATGTGTGATGCGTTTACACCCTGTACAAACATCGTAAATCACTCATGCGAAGACTATAATAGTATTGCATCATAAGCAAACAATGACATCAACTTGAAATTCTGTCGGAACAGCAGGGTGTGTGGGAGTTGCACACTCTTGGGGGTTATGTAGCCTTGGTTTCACCTAGCCTAGGCAAAATAAGCACCCAGATTTGGCAAGTGTGGATATTTTAAGCTGTGTTTACAGTTTGCAGGTGTGGCCAGGGACCTGCGTGTGGAAGTTTACCAAGAGGCTGCAATGCAGCAAGGCAGTTCTTAGGAAACAAACAAACCGCGAACAAACATAACACTGATATTACTGTCAATTTCAACCTTTTCACAACACACATACAGTCAACCCCACGAATAACAACCTCGGATACAACTACAACTCGCGAACAGCGAGACAAATCTTCAGACCCAGTGACCATCTGACTACATACTTTCAACCTCACGCATGACGACACTTCTCATGCACGATTAAGGGTCGTTATTTGCAAGGTTAAAGGGGAAGTATACCCTAAAATCAAATTTTCACCAGTTGTAGTCTTCTGGGTGCTGAGTCGAATGGTCTTGGTCCGAGGAAGCTGCGACGCTCCCTTCCTACTTGAATCCCAATCGAACTCGCGCACTTCCACCGAAACTGGGTGACTGCGCCCTACTAGATGGGGATTTGTATGCAAAATGTCACTAAAAGCGCCATTTCGTTCTTATAAAAGCACAGATGACCGCGATTGGCCCATATGTTGTAGTCTTTTGGACGCTGAGTCGACTGGTTTTGGTCCGAAAAGGCTGCGATGCAGCGTTCCTCCTTTATTCCCAATCGAACATGGTTGAACAAGCGGTCACGTGCTCCTGGGTGCCCAAATCACCTGGTCACCGCGCCAGCAGGCGACAACTTTCACACCAAGGTAACTCGAGTTCAACTCGAGTGACAGGACTGCACCCAAAAAAGGTCAAACAGGCTAGTAAGTTGTACCCTGCAGGCACGGTGACCAGGTGACTGGTGTACGCAGGAGCACGTGGCCGCTTGTTCAACCATGTTCGATTGGGAATAAAGGAGGAACGCTGCATCGCAGCCTTTTCGGACCAAAACCAGTCGACTCAGCGTCCAAAAGACTACAACATATGGGCCAATCGCGGTCATCCGTGCTTTTATAAGAACGAAATGGCGCTTTTAGTGACATTTTGCATACAAATCCCCATCTAGTAGGGCGCAGTCACCCAGTTTCGGTGGAAGTGCGCGAGTTCGATTGGGAATAAAGGAGGAAGGGAGCGTCTCAGCTTCCTCGGACCAAGACCATTCGACTCAGCACCCCGAAGACTACAACTGGTGAAAATTTGATTTTAGGGTATACTTCCCCTTTAACTGTGCAATCATGTATAGTTGTGGCAAGTGAAATACGACACTTGGCATAAGGGACTGCACCATGCAGTCTGCAGCCCTGCATACGTCACAGTTGTACATGTGTTACATACAACTTTATCCATCTGATGACAAAACTCGTACTCATCACAGTCAAGGTTCACAGTCAAGGTACAAAAGGTGCTGGCAAAATTTAAAAATGAATGAGGATTGGATACCAATACTCCTTATGTGTACCATGTTTGTGAACCGTGTGTATCTACGCTGTGACCTTTCGATCTGTTTGGGATGCATACGGCTCTATTGTACAAATTAGGTGCAGTGCATTGCATCATTCGTGTCCATTTGTGGCGCTGTCCCCTATGGCAAGTGTCGGATTTCACTTGCCACAACTGTAGATTGTATACTAAGTGCCAGTAGCCAGGAGGTTGACATGGGCAAAACTCCACAAAGCATACCTTAGTCGGTGCCGCTGCTTCTGCCGATTGCTCCTCGCCAGTCGAGACAGCGCTGCTTTGTGTGTGGCGTGCGCGCCGCACAAACGTACCCGCCGCCGCCTGTGCCTTGGTGTCGGCTGGGCGAATGTCGGCCGCGGCTTCCTTAGCCGCTGCAGCTAGCAAAGCAAGGACACGACACAAGAGTAGCTAACTACCTCCACTGTGCACTTGTACACAGGCAGTTATACTGTATGCACACCAGTACTCACTATCTGATTATGTTGTGCTCGGAGATAATGCCAATAGAGAGGTTCAGTGATTCGTTGTCAACTCGTAAACGAAACGAGATCGATTTGTATTCGGCTCGTGCAGTGCCCAAAATAGGTTCAGTGACTCGTGCACGAGAAGACAGCGAGTCGCATCATGATTGCCATGGTAAATATGGTGGAGAGAAAATTTGAAAGATCTTTCTGCAAAATTTCTTCGCGCAAAGACCTTTTTAATACGAACGCGCGAACGTCATGTCAGCACAGCATCAAGAAGTTAAGACAAGAACTAACTATTCCGACCGTGACAGGGCGTTGCCGATGTCCTGCCAAGCCGTATTCCCTTGCGGTAAGGCAAAGACGTTTTCATGTCCGGAGGACAAGATCAAGTTCAGCAACTTGATGTCATCTAAGACTGCAAATTTCCGAATTCTTCTGCATTCTACAGGAGTTGCTCCAGAGGGAGATACGGGGGTGGAGGGGGACGTTGGGGGAGCCTGCACTTCACTTGACATTGCGGAAAAAGGAAAGGAAAAATTCTTACCAAACACAACGAAAGTGAAAACGAAAGAATCGATAATCAACAAAGATGAAAAAATTTCAAAAAGTCAAAAAGTTTTCACACTTTCTGGGGCAGATCGATCTCGGAGCTGCATACGAATCAGACAGGCCGGATTCGTAAAAACGAATCTTCTGAACGAGATGTCAACGAGACTCTAACCCGGACCGGGTGTCAGCACTTGTTTCGTTCATGAAAAACGAGTCACTGAACCTCTCTAATATACGGGTAGGTAGCCCATATACGCCAGGGTAATAACTGCACTTTTCCTGGTTTTCAAAAATTCCAGCTTGAAATGTGTGTGGAGAGATACGCAGTTGTCTGCGGTTAAAAATAACTTTCTTGGAGACAGGAAGCTTATCAGGGACAGAAAAAAACTACAAATCTCAAGCTATTCATCACCATCACCATCCATCAATAAGGATTCCGAAATTCATGAACCAGTTCCGATAGTTCCCAAGCGACAGCCAGAACTAATGGTAATCACAGATTTTCTAAAGCCCCATACCAGTACCTTGTGACTTTAATTCCGCTCGCATCTTGGCTCTATAATCACCGAAGTGACCACGCATCAGTTGACGCTTTCGAGGCTATGCAGAGAGAGAGGGAAGGGGAGAGAGAGAGAGAGAGAGAGAGAGAGAGAGAGAGAGAGAGAGAGAGAGAGAGAGAGAGAGAGAGAGAGAGAGAGAGAGAGAGAGAGAGAGAGCAGAGGGAATGCAACGAAGGGAGTCAAACCGAAATAGACAAAGAGTGCTACCAGGCTTGCATGCATTGCAATCAGCCCATCACCAGCAGTTTAAAAAGTGTACTATTGAAATACATGTACTGAACACACCTACATAGCCGAGGACGCGAAAACAGGCACAAATATTTGCAAGAAGGCAAATGTGAATACCGAATTGACCAACAATACCGCATGGCACTCTAAACAAGTGTACGGTGACTAGCTTGTCATCTGCAAGTGAATCTGAACCCTTACCAGTGGTGCCTTAGCTGACTGCAAGGTGTTCATTAGCTTGATGGCATCGGCAGCTATTGTCACAGACACAAACCAACGGAAATGAGCATATTTCATCATTTATATACATAAATTCAAACAATAAATGAAAGTGTAAAGTGTATGTGTACATACAGTGGATATGGCGTTTTTACTGTAGTTGCCATAAGAGACCACTTTCAGTTGAAACAAGAGGTGGTAGCACATGACGGGTTTGCCTGCATATCCATGCGTCAACATCGACCAAGCTTGCCGATTGAGACTGATAACGCACCCGCCTGCAGGCTGCGGGGGTCGCTTCAAACCGCAAGCGAAGGAAATATACCAGCAACCCTAACGAGCTACTACATGTACTACACTGGGTAGTGAGATATGAGCTGCCGACTATCCACAAGCTGGTTTAGTCGAGGGCCCGTGTGCGCGGGCGTACACACACACACACACATCTAACAAGCCAGCTCCCCCCCCCCCCCCCCCCATACAAACAGCATGGATTGAACGCACCATAGAACTTAGAAGCATGTTAAACAGAGATGGCCATGCCATGCTACAAGGCTGAAATGGAGTATCCCGTTGTACCCTTGTGCTGCAAGCATTCCTTACGTGCGCTGCCTAGTAATCATTGTCACGTGCGTGCGCACGTGTATGCTGTTCCGTGTATGCACTCATGCATGCACGTTGTGTCCCTGTGTCCCGACATGCTTCCGGGACCCAGGCTGTTCTGCACGCATGCAGATTTGCTCCTGTGTTCTTGTTGTGTCTTCACGAAGTTTGCAAGGAGTTGTGTCTTGCGCTCAGCTTTACTTTCACTCTCTAAACCAAGTAAATATTTAATATAGTCTATTTTAGAACTCCTTGTGCGAGTTGTGGTGTCCGTGGGTTTGTAGTGTGGGTGCAGTTCCCCAACAAGGCAGCATTGATTATAGGATAAACGGCAGCTATACACTGGGTTACAAGTACCTTGTGCATGCTGGCTAGACTTGAGACGTTTGATTCCAAGTTGCAGCTGATGCACGCACCATAGGATCTCCTCCTCAACGGTGAAACTTACATCAGTGCTTGCTACTGATGCTGCTGCTGCGGCCACAGTGGCTGCCTAGAAACGTACAGTGCATGCGGGAGAAAAGAGAAAGTCAAACGGTCTGCTGTAAATCAGGTTGAACTTGTGTGTGTGTGTGTGTGTGTGTGTGTGTGTGTGTGTGTGTGTGTGTGTGTGTGTGTGTGTGTGTGTGTGTGTGTGTGTGTGTGTGTGTGTGTGCGTGTGTGTGTGTGTGCAAGTGCACGTGCCACTTCATAGCTGTGTGGTGCAGACCAGGTTGAATATTGGCGGTCAATTCTTCAGCCTTGCAAGCTGTTGAATGGTGCAATCCCAGCACAAGTTGCTATGGCTTCTGCTGTAGCATCACTATCATCGCCTCCGGTGATGGGCGTCAAAATGGTCAAATGGTGCACGTGTGTGTGTGTGTGTGTGTGTGTGTGTGTGTGTGTGTGTGTGTGTGTGTGTGTGTGTGTGTGTGTGTGTGTGTGCATGTGTGTGCATGCGTGCACGTGTGTGTGTGTGTGTGTGTGTGTGTGTGTGTGTGTGTGTGTGTGTGTGTGTGTGTGTGTGTGTGTGTGTGTGTGTATGCGTGTGTGAATTATAGTGAGGTGTTCTCACAGAAAGTTCTGCAATTGGTTGGTACATCATTTCCAAAAAAAATGCTTGACTGAGGAAGTTGACTCTCACTTACGTCTGTCGCTGATGACTTGTCATCTGCGACCGCAGCGGCAAGAGCATCATCGGCCACTTCACATCCCGTACTACTTGTCTGCATGTCAAACAAACCAAAATATATTGTAAAGCACTAGAATAACGTTACGTACATGTAGCAGACGATACATCTACCTTCACAAAACTGTTGTGAAGTATTTTTCAAAATTAATGTGATTTCACCATTTCTAAATTTTGAATGGAACTCCGAAGTAAGGGTTATTGAATGGAATGTACGCGTGACAGAATTTTAATATTGCATCGCCAAGTGTGAATGCCAGGTTGTATTAGTATCCTCATTCAAGGATCTAAAATCATCACGAACTAATAATTGATTTCAAAAGACTGCTGAAGTCTCGATCTAATCCAATTCACCATACCGGTTGATCACCTCGCTCTGCAGCACGTTTCTTCTTCAGCTTTTTCTTCTGCGACTTACTTAGACCACCGACGCTCGCCATCATAAACTATAATTTTTTACTAGAACAAGCCTGAACAAACTACTTGTAGTATTTTGAACTATTTGAACAAAATATTATTATTCACGATCACACCAAGAGTCCATAACCCCCTGGCCTGGGGGGTTATCATGGTTATGGACTCTTGACTCTTGTTCACACTTTGGGCTGACACGTGCGTATAAAAAGCCAGTTTCGTTTGTTTTTCTGACTCCACGTATGATTTCTGTGTGGTTTTGAGTTGGAGACAATTTTTTTCAAATCTACTTCGTTTTTACGCTACCGTTTTTTGTCTGTCAGCTGATATGGTGCGTCACTGATAACGTCATGGCATTTTCATTGTTTGTTTGTTGACTGCACTGAACTGTGATGAAGCATGAAACTGTGAACAGGCTGCATGCAGAGTCAAGGCTGTGAATAACAAGTCTGTAGTCGTTTCCGAACAAGAGGAAGGCTCTGTTGCTGTCCTTGTTTTTGTCACCTAATGATTTAGGCTATCGTGGCCATGGCTCAGCTTCATGCTTGGGATGTTATCGTCATCACATGCAGAGATGAACCCACTGCTGGAGCATACGAGAAAGGTGACCTGAATTTGCTTGCACCTTGAACTCCTAGTATTTATCCAATAACTGCCAGGCACTGTAGCATCCACTGGCACTCTGCCTTCTTACTGGGGAAATTAGGTGATTTCAAGGATGTTGAAGTGTTGAATTTCTGCTGGGAGTTGGTGCCTTTTTGCTGTTTGGGACAAGTCATGTTCGAATCAAAGTTTGAATAGGAAATAAATGTGAATAAAAGTGGATAATTGATAATGGAAACAGGAAATTGTGTGTTTAGTCTTGATTTGGACCAAACAGTAAGACATAATGAAAGGCAAAAGCTTGTGGCAAATTCGTTATTCCCACAAGAACAAGCAAAGTTCTTGCTGTTTATGCGCGAGTACAACCAACGGCAATACTAGATACTCGTTCGTACTGGAAACGTAGATCTTCCCTACACGTGCTAGTAGTATGTGTTTGGAGGTGATCGCGCTGGGATCAAGCCTCATAGCACTCCATGAGGCTAATACAAGTGAAAGACGAATTATCTAGTGAGACAAGTGACTGACTGTGTGGAGGTGTGTCGGAGGCGTGTCTTGGCTGCATAAGTTTGTGGCCAGTTTGTCGGAGGCGTGTCTTGGCTGCATAAGTTTGTGGCCAGTTTGCAGATCAGTTCCTGTGCACCTTGGCAGTCTAGATTTCATAGATTTGTAGCCAGTTTGCAGATCTCACTTTTTCGTTTCTGCTACATGTATACAGGGTGCTAGCCAGGTCAAAATGATGCGGGGGGGGGGGGGGGGGGGGGGGGGGGGGGGCAGAGGAAACAGTTACCCCATAACCCATTTTTCCGTTTTCCGAAAATTGTCTTGCCATGCAAAATGCAACCTATGGGGCGAACCCCCGGCTTCACCCCAGACAAGTGTGCCTTTATGAACCCTCTGTTAGTGACTGTCGACTGCATTTGCTTTGCAAAAAAAACCACAAGAATCGACGAATAAGCAGGGGTGCCACATGTTCACGGGAGGGGGGGGGGGAGGAGGGAGGTGCTCGATCAAAGTAGGGGGCTCCCCCCCCCCCCCCCCAGTGTCTGCTCTAGGATTGTAGGACAGCCGGGTACACGTGTACCTGGCGCAACCATTTCAACCGGGTTGGAGCCGGGCACACATGTATTCGACGCACACCTCTGCATGATCTGTCACACTGTCACACTGTCACACATACAAGCCATGTAGTCAGTCCTTTCAAAGTTTGAACGTGTAAAGCACCAACCGGGTCACAGGTGACCCAGTACTATATTTTCAACCGGGTCCAAGCGCCGCCCAACCGGGTCGATTACCCGGCTCACCCGGCTCTGGAGCAGACACTCCCCCCCCACCCTCCTTTGGCTAGAACCCTGTAGTACTCACTCATGCGAATTCGATCCCTTTCGACTTTCTACTCAATGTGTTTCTCTGGTTGAACCGGAACACGATTGGGATGAACATTCATTGACGACATTTCGTGCCAGCCTGCTGAAATTTAAGAAAATTAATCGTCATGGTTACCTACTTTCAGATGAACTGTGGAATGTGGGGTTTTTTTTCATGTGCTGCACTGGGACATGTATTGTGTAGTGTTTGTGAGTAATCCTGTACTGTGCTGATGTATGGAAGTTGCCTGCATGATTCTGATGTGCGTACTGCACTGTAATAAAAAATCCAGACACTGCCCATCGTTGTCACTTTTATAGCAAGTTCATTGGCTTGTAGCGACGGGCTTCTTTTGCTGTTTGCTTTTGCGATGCTACACTGAACATGTAATGGTGATAGAGTTGCATACTGGAGAAGATGTGTGTGTTTGTGTGTGTGTGTGTGTGTGTGTGTGTGTGTGTGTGTGTATGTTTGTGTGTGTGTGTGTGTGAACATCATTGCCGAGTCTGTAATCGACGCCAGTTTCGGAGGCGACAGGACCTGGAGCGCCATTTGAGGCACTGCCTACCTCTCCCCTAACCTCTCTGACAGTACCTCCCTTCGGGGAGCGGCGTGGCCATTTCTGGCAGCTGTCAATAGTAGTAGTAGTTGTGTGTGTGTGTGTGTGTGTGTGTGTGTGTGTGTGTGTGTGTGTGCGCGCATGCGTGCGTGCGCGCTTGTGTGTGTGGGCGTGTGTGTGTGTGGTGGGGCGGCGAGTTGTAAACTAATATATATAACAATTATACCAAATACTTGAGTACTCGCTCGGTTTTTTCAGAAATAATCGTACTCGGAATAAATCAGAGTACTCGTTCATACATTGTACATGCATTTACCACAGAAATCTGCAGTTTCCGAGCAGCAGTCGGCAGATATTGATGTGCAGACTGTGTGGTGAACATTTGTTCACGAGTAGAGAGAGAGCCCAAATGACCACCAACCAATATACCCGAGAAAAATGACTGCTACTCGGTTCGATCAGGGTTGTATCATGTGATGTTAAGGGCCTTGGTGTGCAATTAATTTTTTAGGAGATGAAGAATACTCGAATATTCGATCGGAAAAAATCAGAATACTCGAACTCGGGATCTCAGTGCCAACTTTCAGCCCTACTTTTGAGTTTTGATAGCAAGCAGCTATCGTTTCATTGGCATTACAGTCCATTTCAAAACTATAGACGCGTAGGGTTTTTGAAATATTTCAAATTTGGCTGGAGCTTTTTGAGAATAGTTTTCGGAATATTGCTCAGGATCGCTCCACAATTACTCTCATATAGTTTCTAAACGATTGGATAACAGACGCCCAATTTGGAAAAATTTATGCACAAAGTGATCACAGATTTTATGTGGTATAGATGCTGGCATAACGGTTTTTGCCTAGTCTATAGTTTTGAAATGGACTGTAGGTCCAATTGAACACTGATCATCCTTGAAACACAGCAACACGTGGCATTTCACCGTTATCTGTTCTTTTCCATGTACCTCTGTGCCCTGCAGAGCTGAAGGTACGCCAGGCGAAAGGCTTGATTGCCGAGTCGACGCGCCTGTTGGCCGTCGCCGACCCCGACGCCCGTGTCGGCAGCGGTGGCGCCACGCTGAACGCTTTGCTGGTCGCCGCTGAGCTGCTCAGCTCACAGGACGGCTACACGGTAAGATCTACCGTACACTCCGGAGTATAAGCCGCACTCGAGCATGAGCCGCACCCAAAAATATTTGTGTCACGAAATACAGACATCTACCCTATTCATCACCCTTAATTTGATCATCAGAGTATAAGCCGTGTGGACTTTATTGAGGGAAATACTGGTGTTTAAAGGGCGGTTTATAGACCAAGGTGCATTTAACTTGGAGGTTCAGATAAGAGAGATACAAGCAGGCAAATGTGCCTCCTTGATTGAAGTCGACTTAGTGTTGTGAAAACTTGTGATGTTCCCTGTTCTTGTATGTGTGCTTAGGCAGTCACTGAGGATGTGCTGAAGAAATCAGAGGGGCGGCCAGCACGCAAAATTCTAATCCTGCATATGGTGAGTAACGTTAGTGCATGCGTGTGTGTGTGTGTGTGTGTGTGTGTGTGTGTGTGTGTGTGTGCGCGCGTGTGTGTGTGTGTGTGTGTGTGTGTGTGTGTGTGTCCCATATGGTGCAGTGGTATGTGCAGCGATTTCCAATCGATAGGTTGCGGGTTCGATTCCCGACGATTATGGTCACACACGTCTTTCTTCTCTTTCTCAGACTCTTCCTGACTTTTCTTTCATTCTCCTGGGTGGTTACCAACAGCCAGTGTATGCCGGAGTATGTGGTGTGGTGTGTGTGTAGAAAAAGAAGAAAAAAGGAAAAAATAGGGATTCACTGGCCAGAAAAAGTCACTTCAAACAGCTGTGTGGTGGATACCAGGCTAAAAATAGTGGCGGTCAATTCATCAGCCTTTCAAGCTGTTGAATGGTGTAATCCCAGCACAAGTTGCTATGTCTAACATAGCTGTTCGCTATCATCGCTCCCGCGATGGGCATATCTGAGGTCTGAGGTGTGCGCGCGCGTGTGTGTGTGTATGTGTGTGTACGTGTGTTGTGTGTGTTTATTGTGTGTGTGTGGGCGTCTTTTGGTGCGCCTGGAACATCTACATGTACAAGGCTGTTTTTTTCTTCTTCTTGCTGTATCTGTTCAGGGCCGAGACTTCCCGTTCGATGCCTGCAGTCGTTGCTTTGTGTCCATCCCTGGCCTGTGGAATGTGAATGACCAATCTCACTTGGCGCTTTGCTCTGTTATGACACATTTGGATTACCTGCTGTATATGCTGGACCGGGTAAGTCACAATGTGCGCAGCTCTGCTGCTGCTGCTGCTCCTGTTGGTGGTGGTGGTGGTGGTGGTGTGCATGCGTAGTTGCAGTGCGTGTCAGTGGGTTGTGATTGTGGTGCTACGAAATCACAGAAGATCTTCAGTTGCACACATACAAGTAATTGTAGTATTTCTTACCACCCTGTATGACTTGTATCCTATTCTCTGTTTGCTATAGATTTGTGCTGGTTCTCCGCCGGGTGTGTGGGTATCTAGCTCGGACATGATTCTATTTGATAAGAACCCAGCACAGTCTGGTAAGCAACCTTCACTCCCCATGTACTTAGGAGCTTCTCTTGATAGATAACCATCTGCCTTTGGAGAACCCTTCCACAATCATAATAAACGAGAAGAATTAAACTTGCGGCGGCCGCCATACTATGCATGCTCGTGTGTTCTGATAAATGGGTTTAAGTCATCCATTGCTTTGTTGGAGCATCCTGGATGTCGTGCTGTGTATTCAGGCGATTACGTTTCCATTGTGTCACGTGTCCGCAGTGCTGAGTTGGTGTAATGTTTTCGAAACTGCTTGTGTTCACGCAAAGAAATCTAGCCTATGCATACAGGCTCACATGAAATTCACACTTAGGCTATTAGGTAGGTTGTCAACAACTCTGTCCGAGGAGTGCTCAATGCCCATGTAGGGCAGAGCCGTGTACACAAGAGAGATTGGAAACTGTGTCGCAACTCTTTGTGTGTGTGTGTGTGTGTGTGTGTGTGTGTGTGTGTGTGTGTGTGTGTGTGTGTGTGTGTGTGTGTGTGTGTGTGTGTGTGTGTGTGTGTGTGTGTGTGTGTGTGTGTGTGTGTGTGTGTGTGTGTGTGTGTGTGTGTGTGTGTGTGTGTGTGTGTGTGTGTGTGTGTGTGTGTGTGTGTGTGTGTGTGTGTGTGTGTGTGTGTGTGTGTGTGTGTGTGTGTGTGTGTGTGTGTGTGTGTGTGTGTGTGTGTGTGTGTGTGTGTGTGTGTGTGTGTGTGTGTGTGTGTGTGTGTGTGTGTGTGTGTGTGTGTGTGTGTGTGTGTGTGTGTGTGTGTGTGTGTGTGTGTGTGTGTGTGTGTGTGTGTGTGTGTGTGTGTGTGTGTGTGTGTGTGTGTGTGTGTGTGTGTGTGTGTGTGTGTGTGTGTGTGTGTGTGTGTGTGTGTGTGTGTGTGTGTGTGTGTGTGTGTGTGTGTGTGTGTGTGTGTGTGTGTGTGTGTGTGTGTGTGTGTGTGTGTGTGTGTGTGTGTGTGTGTGTGTGTGTGTGTGTGTGTGTGTGTGTGTGTGTGTGTGTGTGTGTGTGTGTGTGTGTGTGTGTGTGTGTGTGTGTGTGTGTGTGTGTGTGTGTGTGTGTGTGTGTGTGTGTGTGTGTGTGTGTGTGTGTGTGTGTGTGTGTGTGTGTGTGTGTGTGTGTGTGTGTGTGTGTGTGTGTGTGTGTGTGTGTGTGTGTGTGTGTGTGTGTGTGTGTGTGTGTGTGTGTGTGTGTGTGTGTGTGTGTGTGTGTGTGTGTGTGTGTGTGTGTGTGTGTGTGTGTGTGTGTGTGTGTGTGTGTGTGTGTGTGTGTGTGTGTGTGTGTGTGTGTGTGTGTGTGTGTGTGTGTGTGTGTGTGTGTGTGTGTGTGTGTGTGTGTGTGTGTGTGTATGCTTGCACACATGTGCTTCCCGTACACAGGTCCCATGATCAACTGGGGGGACTTCACAGGTGGTGTCATGGCCGTGGCCATACCAGGCAGCAAGGACTACGCCAAACGACACGGCGTCTATCGCATCGGAGAGCAGGTCAGTTTGTGTGCTGTCACTTGTACAATGCATTGCTGTATTATAGGTGCACACTTGTCTTGATTTTACAGTGAAACCTGTCTAAGACGACTGCTCAAGGGACCTTCAAAATGTGGTCTCTGTTACCAGGTGGTCTCCTTATCCAGGGTTATTTGACTGGAAATAGCATCCCTTGGTCCTGGTTTCAGTGGTTTTCTTGGACAGGTGGTCGCCTTATTCGAGTGGTCGCCATGTCAGGTTTTACTGTACTTCTTTTTGTTGTTGTTGAAAAGGATAGTATGTGTACATGTTTTCCCGTTTGTCTCTTTCCCTCAAACCATTTAATGTGTACATGCATTCCTACTTACAACTGTGCATACATTCAGCCTGTATAGATACATGTATAAGAACCATCTGGGAGCACATTGTCATGAGTGCACTGTCCTTTGTCACTGTGATGTGCGTGTGTGTGTGGGGGGGGGGGGGGGGGGGGTGCATGCGTGCGTGCGTGCGCGTGTGTGTGTGTGTGTGTGTGTGTGTGTGTGTGTGTGTGTGTGTGCAGGGCCGTCGGAAGGTATTTTAGTGTGGTACGGTCAGCCATCTGAAGTACAACTTATTCGTGGGGGGAGGGATGGCTGAGCCGAACATTTTGGAAATTTAGAGCCCAAATCAGTGTATTTTATTGATTCACAGGGTACTTGGGGCAAATAGTGGTACGGTCAATACCGTAGTGACCATACCGTGTGCGACGCCCCTGGTGTGTATATGTTTATGTGTGTGTATGTGCGTTTGTAGAGTGAAATCTGCGACATAGTGTTCCAAGGCAACGCAGAGCAGATCGACGCATGCAGCCTGGACACAGGGCTTGTACCTATTGTAAGTTAAAAGCCCCTCAGAGTTATTGTTCTCTTTGTTGTTGTTGTTGTTGTTGTTGTTGTTGTTGTTGTTGTTGTTGTTGTTGTTGTTGTTGTTGTTGTTGTTGTTGTTGTTGTTGTTGTTGTTGTTGTTGTTGTTGTTGTTGTTGTTCCAGTTTTAGTATATGTACAACCGAAGTTATACTTCTTGTTGTTGTTGTTGTTGTGCTATTGAGGTGAGACAAACATTCCGTTCCTCGGGCTTTCAATTGAGCTCACTCCATTTGATGTACTTTGCATGGCAGATAGAGCTTTTCTTTCCTTCAATGTAGAGGCAGAAAATTTCGTCGATCAATAATTTCGTCCAACTCCAAAGAAAAGGAGTTCGTCCGGCTGAAAATTTCGTCCATGGATCATAACTATCATATTGAGTGTATAGAAAAGCTGGGCAAATCGACATTAGTCCTACATTTAATTTAGTCCAAAAGCTCCTTGGACGAAAAAGACGAAATTAAATTCCAGACGAATATTTCTGCTGATACAGTACATGTAGGAGCTGCATCAAGCGCTGTCCATGGCGTTCCTGTTGGTAATGTAGGCTTCTCGTGAGGTAGTCAGTACTAGTCACACTCTCTACAATATCTTGTGTCTCTTCGTATCTGTGCGGACTGGAGTGAATCATCTAAAGTGTACTTGAAGGCTTTGCTGGCGTAGGCCAAAGCACAATCCCATTTAGTTTTTTTTTGGGAGGGGGTAGTTGCCTCTCTGTTTTACGTCTTCCTGAGGGTCCCTTTGCTCGCTACTGTGTTCTCATGTGCATGTGCGCTTGCTGGTGTGTGTGTACGTGTATGTGTGTGTACGTGTACGTGTACGTGTGTATGTGTTAGGTATCCGGTATCGTCTTCATGTGCCCGAACACCGCCAGCAAGCTGCTGGATCTGCAAAGTGAGCCACCTTTGGAGAACTGTACCTATCTGGGCATTGACAGCGGCAACTCTCCACTGAATGTGAGTCAACTTGTTGTTTCACATCTGATCGTGGATTATTCCCGAGACTCCAGTTAGCTGCTACTCGACCAAAAAGCTTTTCATTGACAGTTTCGTGTGAAAGTTCCAGTAGCGTTATATCCATGCACAGTCACTGTGCCTTATTCTCTTTTTGTATGTTAAATATTGCACGGTAGAACATGCTTTGAAAGGGACTCACAGATATGGTGGAGACAGAATTCAGCCAGTGTTGTCTTTTGGTGGTGTCTGTCCTTTTCGATTTTTTTCTGGTGCTCACATCTTGTGCTTGCTCATTCCAATGATGTCCTCTGGCAGGTTTCATTGTACTGTGGCATGCTGCTATCGTGGGTTCTTCAGTGTTGTCTTTTGCTGGCGTCTTTCTTTTTTTGATTTCGTGTTCTGATCTTGTGCTTGCTCATTCCAATGATGTCGTCCGCTGGCAGGTCTCATTGTATTTTGACATGCTACTATCACTGGCCAAGGATGTCTCGCAGGCCGAGTACGAGGCCGGCAGCCGTCCAGGCACGTACGGCCAGGGCAGCGCCGTGGGCCCCGGCTCGACGCACACCGATAGCAACGCCGAGGACCGGCGCAAGGCCCGTGCCATGGTCTGGAAACGACTGCGGCTGGCCGGTGTCACTATGCATGCAGGTAGGAGTATGCTACGTAGCTGCAGTGCTAAGGGGTCGTCGCAAAATTTTTTGTCGCCCTGAAACGAACATGATTCATTTGGGGGGAGGGGGTGCGAGCCAAAATCGCAAGTCGACCGACACTGTACATATGACATGCACATGCATGCGATTTTCGTCGTCCAGCATAGCAAGCTGTGTTCGTTTCAGAGGGAGGGGAGGGGGTCCGAGTACGAAATGAACGATGTTCGTTTCAGGGACGACAGAAAACTTTTGCGACGACCCCTAAGGCAGTGAGGGACTATTGTGGGTTTTTAGAGCACCGGGTTGACAGAGGTCATATCTGTACACGAGGAGACAGATGTTTTCCCAAGACATACTGTATAGCAGGAAATTTTCGGGCGGAAATAGTTTCGGACAAAGCCGATTTTCGACCTTTCGTACGGATTTTATTTTCGTACAGGACCTCACTTCTAATGTCCCACCTTCAGACATGCAGCCTACCAAGTGTGAAAGCAGTGCCGTTGATGTTGCGCCACGTGTGTGCTGTGGTGTGGTTAAAAGCACGTCAGATACCGAAAAGGAACCCGTGACAACTGTAGGGTGGGGTTCAAGACTGTTACCAGGGTTATGTGAACATTCCCGGACATGATCAACCAAGGATGCCAAGGACAAGACCTGTCGACACCCTACAAGGGGGGATTCCCTGAAATCACAGTGCACCAGCATTGCCGCTAGAGCATGGCCTACAAAGGGGTGCGGTGATGTAAGCTGTGACGCCATCAGGGCTGACCGGCAGTATGGGCATTTGGTAGACCCCTGGAGCCACTGGTAGATGCATGGCAAGCAAAATACCTGCTTGCAACAAGGTGCCTCTATAGCTGGATCGGTAACTAATCTGCAGATAGGGCATGCAGCATAACTGACATCGTGTGTGAAACGGCTTCCATCCAGTGCAATACCAGCTTGGTAAGGAGGAGTGGCTTTCTTCTGTACTTCAGTTATGTCTACATCTACACCACTCTGGTCTTCGATGTCTACGTCTACGTCTGTACTTGTCTGTGTGCCTGCTTGTTTTTCATGACTTGATTGTGGATTGACGGTTTGATCCTGGGTAGCCTGTGGACATTCACTAGCATCATCACACTTATCAATCAGTCTTGGGGTGGTGCCCTTGGTGGCTGCTCTGCCAGGACGACTCAGGGTGTCACAGACAGAACAACCAGTACGTTTGTGAGCCACCCACTCTATGCTACTACTACCACAACCACCACCACGAGTCACAAACGAGCTAGACGCCTTACTGTACCTATCTAGCACTTTCTTACATGTTCTGCAGAAAAACTCAGGGTGTATGCCAGGCTGGTCATTCAATACATTGATTTTGAAGCATGCTTGAATCTCACCGGCACGTTCGGCAACGGAATAACGGGTGGATCGGTCCTGTTTCGTAAATTTTCCACCACTAATCCTGCACACCTGCTCCAGCTTCTTGATGTGGCCCTCCATAGCCAAGGAAGTTCGAGGGCCGTGGCCCGCGCGAAAACCACTGCGGCCCAAGCTGCGAATGTGTGGGAAATGTCGACCAAGGACAAACGAGTGAATAGAAAATGAAGACCAGCTCCAGACAATTAAACGAAAGAAGATAAGCGCTCCACAAGCAGGGCGAGATCCACCAAAGGAGTAATGGACGACTCGTACCGGATCGTAGAAGAAGGACACAGAGAAAGAAAGCCAGCTTCAAAATTTCTCTGTCGATTTTGTTTCTTCTTGCACGAGGAGAAAGCTGCTTTTCGGTGGAAGCATTTTGCTTGCTTTTCGCGACCCAGAGAGCCAGCCACGAGCAGCAAATAAGCAGCGCAGATGAACCAAACCAGTATTTTTGAGTGTTTCAAATTTTGAATACAAGCCACGCCGTTGCGGCCGCGTGGTGCCGCGTACGCGATCGCCAGGGAGACGCGCGATCGCGGCCATCTTTTGAAATGTCGCAGTATCCAAGGCGTAGGACAGCCGTGAGTGCTGCATGCTAATTTTTTTTAAGTGAATAAAACCTCTTTTACAGGCGAACAAAACACAATTAATTTGCCATTGTGGAGGATTGGAAAACAAGTCACGCTGCATGCTGAATGCACGTGTTTGCATGCGGCACGCATGTATATAGTGTACATATACCTTCACAGGAACAAATTTTAATACGGAATTAATTTAGTACAAAAGAGGCCGTGTACGAAATCGTACGAAAATAAATTCCGTCCGAAAATTCCCTGCTATACACTACCACCCGGGGGCCTAAGAAATACAACTCCAATGAGGAGGGATACAATGCTTCATAACTTCTTGTTTTTCAAGACAAAGAGGAAGAGAAATTGATTGCGCATGCGTATATGTCTTGGCTAGTGAGGGAGACTGTCGTCATGGCACCTAGGTCGCTACAGGTTGTGCAGTCGACGTTGGATATAGTTGTCTTTCACACTCAATCTGTGTTGTTGTTGTTGTTGTTGTTGTTGTTGTTGCCGTTGTTCTTGTTCTTTTGTAGGCTTGCTGTCTAATTTGGAACATGACTACATAGATTTGTACCCAAGGCAGTACATCGAGCGCTTGCAGCGTCTTGGAGAGCTGCCTGACGTCGTGGCCGGCCAGAACTCCTTTGTGTTTGGAAGGAAAACGCATTCATTTGTGAAGGAGGTGAGAGAGGGTTTATCAGCTTGCCTCCCCCCCCCCCCCCCCCAATGAAGTGCTTTTCATCTCATGTATGCTGTGCTGTGCTTTGCATGGTGAAGAGAGTCGCGTGGTGTATGTTAGTTTCTGGTACCGTGCGTCAGTCATTGCAGAGTCCGGACGGTGTTGCGTGAACTGATGCATGGCCACCGTGTGCATGTGTGCGCGCTGCACACTTCCAAGTTGGAGCCAGAATAGAGTGGTTTCACATAATTGGTCATGTGACTAAATGTGTGTAGAAAGTGATCATGGCATGTGGACAGTGGAATCAACATGGCCGACATCATGTGACCCATGCATGCAGGAGTTGAGTGGAGTTGGAACCAACATGGCCGTCCCGAATGGTCATGTGATAGATGTGCAACCACTCTATATGAATAGTAACACACTAATATTATTCTGTGCGTCTTGTGTGTTGCTTTCTGGCTAGATGGACAAGTTGTCGGACAGCTCCGTGCTGGTGAACTGCCTATGCAGTGCCGTGACCACCGTGGGTGAAAACACGGTCATGATGAACTGCCGTGTTGAGGTCAGTTGTCAGTGCATGTAATAATTGAGCCTCTAGATCCGAAAAGGGGGCTTATGTTGTTTGGCGTTAAGCGACTTATAAATGCCCATTGAAACACCCATAACTCAGTGAAAGATAAAGATTTTGCACCTAGGTTTTTTATCGAGTGATCTGCTTGGGTGCAGCAATGTCATGGTATAGACAACTCAAAATGCTCAAAAATGACATAAGCCCCCTTTTTTTGGATCTAGAGGCTCGTATAGCTCAGTCTGGTGTACCATGTGTGTACCGTGTACAGTGAAACCTGTCTAAGACGACCGCTCAAGGGACCTTCAGAATGTGGTCTCTGTTACCAGGTGGTCTCCTTATCCAGGGTCGTATGACTGGAAAATAGCATCCCTTGGTCCTGGTTCCAGTGGTCTTTTAGGACAGGTGGTCGCCTTGACAGGCTGTACTGTATGTACATAACAACATGTACAGTAGCGGACATTGAAATCCGTTGAGCAGTGAAGTGGCCATGGGGCGCTGGCCTTCAACTTTTTTTCAAGCACTGCTGATCCATTTTTACAGTGTGTATGTGAACTACAGTGCATGTACGCGCTGAAAGCAGTAAGGGCGCCGACCCCGGTCATTCCATCGGATTTCAATGTCCACGACGGTACCATCACTGTACATGTCTAAACACAGACCGGACCGACTCACGCCAGCCAACTGCCGGGCGTAGCATGCCTGCACTCGTGTAGTAGTATACCAACTGACTTTGTCTCACTCTGCGATGCGGAGTGGTGTTTCAGTACAGACTACACAGTGAACATGCCAAGATGAATAGGAGTTCAGTGCAGACTTCTACTGTAGGCGTGCGAAACTGCACAGGAGTTCTGTGCGGACTTCTATGCACACACTCCGCCCCGTGTTTCAGTTCTGTTTTGCCTTGACTCACCTCTCTGTGTTGTTTCTCGTTGCACCCATGCGTGTCGCTCAGGTACCGGGCACCGTTTCCAGTGGCTGCCTCCTGAACTCGGTGACATTCTCCGAAGAGCGCTGTCAGGTACTGCCATCAACATTTGCCATGCACTGGTCTACCCCTTACCCAGTGCTACATGATGTATTGGTTTTGGGGGATTTCATTCAGCAGGACTGTATTTATGTGCTCAGGTGCTCCGATCAGTTATCTTGGTACATGTACGTGTATGCTCCGTGCACAATTGCTGATGTGCAGGTCGCGTGGCCCAACGGATAAGGCGCCTGACTACGAATCAGGAGATTCCAGGTTCGAATCCTGGCGTGATCGATTTTTTTTCTTTTTGCCCCATAACATGTGTCTCTACTTTCTGGAAGTGTGCTGTTGTTTAGTGTTGGCATTCTTTTGAGTTACATGTGCCTTTTCTGGTTGTTCTTTGTTTTGTTTTCTTTTAGGGCATGCCATCACCGTTCATCATCCCCGAAAACACTGCCGTTCTCTCCTTCTCTCAACGTGCTGACTCCGATTCCGCTGTTGTCTGTTTTGGTACGAAGGACGAGCTGGAGGTTAGTCTTTTAATTAATTAATTAATCAAATTGTTCACTATTTCCATAACCCAACACGTCACGATAAAGATGATACAGTGAACGATGAAAGGCCTATAAGTATACTTGCCACAAGTAGGAGTGGTGATAGGGGACGAAGTGCTCAGCCGACAAGTGTCTCGTCATCACAGCACACCGTACGCATCGAGTGTGACCTGCCTGCCGACTTGTTTGCACCGGCTTGAGTTTTCTTGTTCGAAAGAATCGGACTGGAATGGTTTTTGTTTCATTTTTATTATGTTTTGGTACGCTCTGATTTTCTGTGTATCCCTAGGGTACCACCGAAAGTGGCACATTCTGCGGCGACTCCTGGGCGGCATTCTTTCAGCGTACCGGAATAGCGTCCTCTGACCTGTGGGACGAGGACTGCACCAAGAAGACTCTCCTCAATGCTCGCCTGTTCCGGCGGGGCTGCGCTAGCTTGGCGGCTGTGCTGTGGCTATCGGGCGGATGCAAGGTTGCATCTGAAGGCCAGCTGGAGGCATGGCGGGCAGCGGAACGTGTATCGATCGCCGATGTCCTGCCTGCTGTCAATGTAGCAGCAGAGTTTAGCAGTAGAAGGTGAGAAGTGTTGCTCGCTGTGAAAATCCAAGATCACCGGTGCACTGGAGTGGTGTATAAGTTCAGACCCCCTCCCCATAGTGCGCAGTGCTTAGGTGTACATGCAGTAAACAAAACTGGATAGTAATAATTTGCCGCTCACAATATGCTTCATAGGAAGTTTGCACATTGCAGCCATGGATTACTTTGATGTGCAACACTTGTAAGTTGTTACGTGTGAAGCTTGTAGCATGTACTTGCTACTCTTTGCCTGCAGGGGGGGGGGGGGGGGGATATACACCAAGATATCAGTTCTAGTATCCACGTCACATGCTTTTCTCCGCACATTTTATTAGTTATCGTCCTCTTCATCCTGGCCTCTATGTGTGTGTGTGTGTGGGGGGGGGGGGGGTATCTCTCTCTCTCTCTCTCTCTCTCTCTCTCTCTCTCTCTCTCTCTCTCTCTCTTTCTCTCTCTCTCTCTTTCTCTCTCTTTCTCTCTCTCTCTTTTTCTCTCTTTCTCTCTCTCTCTCTCTCTCTCTCTCTCTCTCTCTCTCTCTCTCTCTCTCTCTCTCTCTCTCTCTCTCTCTCTCTCTCTCTCTCTCTCTCTCTCTCTCTCTCTGTCTGTCGTCACATTTCTTCTGCTGTTCTGTCTTGTCCTTCCTCTTCCTTGTCTTTGCTCTTCCCTGCAGCCGATTGTCAGCAGAGATCGTAGTGGCCGTCCAGCGTCACGCTCTGCACACGTGTCAGCCTCTTAGCTGGGTGTCGTCTTTCCGCAGCACGGCCCGGAATGGACACGCTGACCTGCTCTTCACCATGCTAGATGGAGGTGAGCGTTGCGCTCTTTTTCAGGGGTGTCATCGGGTAGTAGGGTACCCGTGCTACCCGTAATTAGAGGGTGTTCGGGTAGCAGTTTGCTCCTGAGAACCCGATCGAGTAGTTGGAGTGCGGTGTTTTCGCAACGGTGCGTGTAAAAAGCATGGCTACCTGCGTACTGTATACTTTCTATGTAGCGCGAGTGCATACTCACTGTACAAACTATGTCAAAAAGTACCCGATAGGGTACCCGTGCTACCTGGATAGAAATACCCGAACTCGTTACCCGCCCAAACCCCTACCCGTTGCAGCCGTACATAAGTTTGTTTTACCAGGAGACACACTCCAAACTCAGCTCGCTGTGTACGGCCACTCAAGTAGCTGCAGAACCATGCTAGAGCCTGTCCAGTCACCCCCACTGCAAGAAGATCGTTGATCAGCGTTGGATGCTGCACAATCTTCTCCAATAGTTTTGAAATTATTGACAGGAGGGAGACTGGGCGGTAGTTGGTTGGCAGGGAGGGGTCTCCACTCTTAAATAAGGGTCGGACATAGGCTAACCTGAGCTGGCGTGGAGCGGCACCACTCTGAAGGGAAGTGTTGACAATCTTGGTGAGCAATTTGTGCCAATAGATCAGCACAGCCAACAAGATGCAGGTGACGCTGACCTTCCATGTCGATCCACGTCGCCTCTAGGTTGGGCTGATGCAAGTCGAGTCGTGGTCTGATTGGGTAAGGAGGATCGGTAGTACATGCAGGCCCCACCACCAGCCTTTCCCTGTCGGTCACATCGCACACGAGTATATCCAGGCACATTCACTTCGCCGTCAGGGTCTGTTGAGTGCAGCCAAGTCTCGGCAACATCAACCACATCCCACTGCCGAGGTATCATTACTTGGGCCAGGTCATGTACTTTATGTCACTGACTGCACACATCGACGAAACCCACTAATTGGTATTTACACTGTGCGGGTGGAGCTGAGCGAGGAGTGAAGGAGGATGCGCCGGGATTGAGAGTTTGTACAGCAGTGTGCTGTGCGTCGAGATTTGCTGCGGAGCTAGTCATGGCTGACTTAGCTGGGCAGCAGCACGCTTTGCATCCTGTGACAGCGACTCTGGTGACCGTTCGGCAGAGGAATGTTTGTGGCTGTGTAGGGCGGTTACAGGTGTTCTGGCAGCACCAGAAGTCAGAGCACAGCTAGCCTTCAGGAAGTCGTTAATCGTGTCACTAATCCTGGGTTGCTGTTGCTCTTGATCCTTATGCTGCACTGCTTTCCAGCTGGTTGCTGCTGCTGTCGCTGCTGCGGAGCTCACAAATTCAAACCTGCTCTCAGCTTCACATGGGTTTGCATTGTCTTCTCCTTTAACTTTTCGGCAGGGGGTGGGAATTAGATCAAGTCGTTTTTGAAGTGCAGTACGATGTACAACAAAGCAGAAGATCAGACGTGGGATGCTGGGTTGTGCACGTTTTCATCCTGCACTCGCACGTATTGTGTACAGCAGTACACGCGTCGGTTCAACATCGTATTTTGTTGTATACGCCAACGTCGCTTCACAGGCAGAATTTCGACAGGGGGTGGGAATTAGAGCAGGGGCGGGTAAACGGTACTTGACGGTAAATGGCTCCGTGCAGTACTATCCGTCACACTTTTGATATCTTGTTTGTCTTATGCTCTGCGAGCAGTTGCCAGTGAGTCGGCGGATCCCGGCGTACGAGCTCGAGCGCTAGCGGGCATTGCTGACGTACTGGCTGCGGTTGCCGGCGATGGTAACGGCCTGCGCAGTGGACCCGGCGCCAACCGTGGCTGGAAGGCCGCCTACAAGCAGTTGCAGGTGAGTAGGCCGTGCAGGTGTGCTTGCTTGAGGATGAAGGGCGCCTTCCATTGTTGGTGTGATGAAGGGCGCCTTCCATTGTTGGTGTGATGAAGGGCGCCTTCCATTGTTGGTGTGATGAAGGGCGCCTTCCATTGTTGGTGTGATGAAGGGCGCCTTCCATTGTTGGTGTGATGAAGGGCGCCTTCCATTGTTGGTGTGATGAAGGGCGCCTTCCATTGTTGGTGTGATGAAGGGCGCCTTCCATTGTTGGTGTGATGAAGGGCGCCTTCCATTGTTGGTGTGATGAAGGGCGCCTTCCATTGTTGGTGTGATGAAGGGCGCCTTCCATTGTTGGTGTGATGAAGGGCGCCTTCCATTGTTGGTGTGATGAAGGGCGCCGCCGGTGCTCGTACGGTTCTCTGGATGCAGTCTCTGTCGTGCCCATATATTATGGCGTTCATTCATGAAAACGAACAAATTGCGTTATCCACACGAATACGCCAGTTGTCGAGAACTTTTCCATGGAAGCAGTGGTGGCCGAGTGGTTAAGGCGATTGACTCGAAATCAATTGGGCTCTGCCCGCACAGGTTCGAATCCTGTTCACTGCGATGAAATCTTATTTTTTTATTCTAGTTTCACCTGAAGTCTGTAGGTGGATGCCGGGCTGGGATTGTCGGCATACCGGATTACTGACCAGTGGTGTTCTGCTATTGTTTGCAGGAAGGCAACGTCAAGGAGGGTGTTGCTTTACTGGCAGCCGAACGCGAAAAATGGATGAACAGCCGACAAGCCCTCTGGTGAGTTTGTCACTGCGGATATTTTGTACCGCAGACCAAACGGGCAATGAAGCCCAATATTATGATTGCGATAAAGTAACGGCCAAAAGCCAAGAATGCAACAAACGAGTCTGTCACTGTGTCTGTGTAAGGCTGAGTACTGTTCCCAGCGTTCAAGAAACATCCAGTACAAACACTGATACCACCATTGACCATTTTTCAACTGTTGCCCTGACCATGCAGTACTAGTATCATTCCAAGATGAATGCAACTGATTTGGGTAGAACATTGTGATGCAGTCCAGGTTACGAGATGCCAGTTTGTACAAGTACAAGATGTTGGAAATGCTTAGCCAAATTGCGGTGATGTAGAAGGGTATGATATAGGGCTGCAACAAAAGTTCAACGGTTCAGTTGTTGTTCGTTTCCGAATCCAAAAGAAGGAAGGTTCGAAGCCAGGTTCCTGGGCATGCCTGGTCCCGAAATCAACTTAACACTCTGGAAATGCATACCAAGAGCATGCAACTACAAAAGTACTCCTGTCTCTGCTTGTTGCAAACACCCATGCGTTGTTGTGTGTCTCTCCTGCGCTGTGTTTCTCCAGCGGTACTGCACCAGACGCGTCACCACTTCTTCGGTAAGGAGCTTTCCAAGGCGTCCATAGCCACATCTTCAGAACTTGAGCGTTGCAAAGATGAGACGAGAGTGCGAGAGTACAATTATGATAAGTTTCCCTCTGTGAAGAGAGGACTCCATAATGGAATAGAGAGATCTGGAGAAGAAGAAAATAATGGAATACAACGATGATCGTGATGGTAGTGCTATTTGAAACTCACACAATGAGCCAAGGATACTTGTTGAGAGGAACGGAATGAAAAGCAATTGTTTAGAAGAGCGATGGTCATGATTCCGCTGATGACTGTGACAGGAAACAAAGCATTCTGGAATTCTAACTATATTATCGCAGTGTGAGATGAGTGCACAACTTATCCTCCTCATTGTGTTCAGAAGATCTGTGTTTTTGTTGTGTTTATGGTGCATGCATCCATACTTGTTCGTCGCAGGCCTCGGGAACTTCTGCGAGCCGCTCGCCACTACGAGGGAGCAGCGCAGATTCTCATCTCGCAAGCCGTGAAGACGGCCGAGCAGGTACGTACAGCGGCGGGTGTGCATTGGCTCCCTGAGACGTCCTACTATGGACATACATGTGATGGATAGATCAGTAGCGGTACATGTACAGTCCTCTGCTCAATGAAATCCAGTCGCCGCGTCACTCAAGTCTGCACCTTTCACCTTTTCGCAGCCCAGTGTTCTGCAGGTCTAGGGCTGTGCAACGCCCGGCGCGTACTTGAGTAACGCGGCTAGATTTCATTGTGCAGCACTGTACATGACGTGTATTCTTTCAATGGCTCACACACACGTACAAGGTGTCAGTATGATCATCACTGGTGTGTACTGCACAGTTGATAATCATCCAGTTCCAGATGATTCAACTAAACCCAAAGTTTATGAAAAGAACCCAACGGATTGCGTGCGAAGTATGCAAAAAGACACGCTTAGGTGCGCTTCCTCAGTGCTTTGCGGCAATGTCTTGTGTAGTACACCCGTTTGACATATCATGAGAAGTGCATTATGTCTGGTGGTAGGACTACGCCAGGGTGAACACTATTGTATGGCATACTATACTCAATCTCCGCACAGCTAGCTGTTTCCACCTTATTAGGTCTCCTCAGCTGAGCTCAGAGTTACTGGCCGAACTGATCGCATTGAAGTCATAGTGATGCCATAGTGATAATTAATTTCACCCCACTCATGCGCTCTTTTCTTCCGATTATAATGTTCTTTCCTTTTTCTTTCTTTTTCCTTCTCTTGCCATGGCTGGCTAACTAACGCCCCTCCTTTGCATTGGCTTCTGCCATTGGACGGTGAAATAAAAAAAATAAAAAATAAGTCCACTGAACAACAAAGCACTTTTAAACTGGCTCAAAGCCCTAACGTCAATTTGCTCTATTTGCGATGAACACAGCGACCTGTGTATACACGTGTTGCGCTGCATGTCATTGTCATGGGCAGTTTCTGATATAGAATCTTGTTCTCTGATGCTTGGAACATCCTTTTGTTTTCTCTCAGTTTGCCACTATCAAGCATGAAGAGGAGCCTGTGCCAATGGGCAAGTGGGTTAAAGTGGAAGCTCCAGGTTAGTACTAGTATCTGACATGTTTGTTTGTTTGTTTGTATTTATTTTGATTCGCAAATTCAAGCGGGCATAGAACCCAATAACATGAAAGCGAATATGAAAATTATAATGAGAATGAGAATTAAAATACTTAGATCTTCAGCGTAGAGTCAGCGGTACATCAGAGGGAGATCGGGTACAACAGAAAGAGAACAGGAAACAGAAGATTTCGCTTGTCTTCAGCGCATCTACAGGGCACAGGTATATGGGATTACCTGCGTGCGAAACTGCCGAGCGTGATGGATGGCACGGATGTCGCTGGGGAGGGCATTCCATAATACAGCACCCTTGCAAGCAAAGCGCCCCCGCCCCATTAGGCGAGACCAAAAAAATAGAGATTCCCGGGCCCTCCCGCACCAAAATCGAGCCAAAAACCAATTTTTTTTGTTTTTTTGAACAGTTCATACATGTACAGTACTGATCGTGTGAGTAGATCTGTGACGTGGAGTCACACAAACCCGAGCTTGTCACGGTACGACTCCCTGATGTACAGATCAGGGCCATCGTTGGCCGAAATATAGAAAACTTGAACGGGTAAACCGCGTACCTGTTGTCTGCAAAAAAATTGAATAAAAATTACTGGAAAAAAAGTTCAACATGGCATGCACACATATAGTCATGTACATTATTATTATTATTATACGCATTCCCGCGTTGAAGTGTAGCAGCAGTATGCTGCGTCCACAGCTTCGCTTATGCAGAATGGCTTGGGTGAGAGGAGAGGGGAGAGAAAGCAACAAGGCAACCAACATCTATGAAATTGGTCACAATAACATGAAGAGAACCAACCTACATATGCATGATTGCACAAGAATGGAGACATGTACATACATGGGGAAAAATAATAATAATAAAATTCGCCCGCCCGCACCAATTTCACATGGGTCCTGCCCGGGAATCTCGATTTTATTTTGGTCTCGCCTAATAGTTAAGATTAATTATTTAAAAGAGTAAATGTGGTACTATTAGAGAAGGAAAGGGGACATCCTGACATAAGACTGCACCAAAAACAAAACAGAAACAGAAAGTTTACTTATCTACTTAGCGGCTTCTTCTGCGGCTGTTCACTCGATCAGCCACTTGCTGCATCTCACGCGCTGAGGCTTGGTGTGCCCAGGCGACTTGAGGGTCCGGGGATGGGGGCAACGTGCCGGTCAGAACTTTGGGAGTGAACGTATGTTTTCCCGTTGCCAGGACAAAACCAGCCTCATCTGGAGACGAGTGGCCAGCTTTGCCACGTGCTTTGGGAAATGCAGGCATGACTGGTGTCGTGACCAGGGCCTGCAGCCGAGCGGGATGGGGCACAGGTGTTTTGGACGGCAATGTTGTGACTACAGGACTGGGTTGCTGGGATGAGACACTGCTCTCCTGTGCAGGCGGTGGTGGAGGCGACTGCTGACGCTGCAGCTCCTGCTGTGGAGGCGGCGTAGGCTGCTGCTGGCGCTCCTGGTCCTGCTGGGTGTCTACTTGTAAGCATTCTGCAACGTGTTGCTGTTGCTGTGGGCTCGTACTGACAGAGTGAACTGCATGTGCGTACGATCGGGCCCCAGTGCTGCTGGCTGCAGTCGCCTTTTTCGGGCAGTCTCTTGCCATATGACCAGAAGCATGACAGCGAAAGCAGGTCTGCTGTTGCCCGCGGTGGTACGTGCGGTGCAATGTACGGGATATGCGTAGTTTGCACGGTACGGGTTTCTGGAGCACTACAAGTGCACGTCGAGTCCCCGTGAGGATTTTTACGCCCTCATGGGTAAGGCTTTCTCTCTCAATTTTCCCGACAACTTGCCCAAACTCAGCCAATGCTGAGGCAATGTGACCGTCATGCAGATTGGGTGCACAGCCATACACAAGGACATGACACGAAGACAGTGAGCCATCACCCGGCAGGACACTCACCCGCTCTCCTTTTAGTTCCAGTCTACTCTCCACGAGACGATTTCTCATGTTGAAATTGGACAGGGTGAGAACACACACCCCGGCCGGCTCTGGAGATCGATCTGGATGACCAGAGTTAGCTCGTATCCGGAGGAAGCTATGGCCTTGGCAATGTCCAAGTGTTCGATGCTCCGTCGACAAGGAAAGTGGCAGTTTACAGTCTCCATCACAGGAGCTCCGAACTACTCAACTGCTCTCAAGCTCAATTTTTTTATTTTTTTATTTTTTTGTCACCTAAGACATTGGGTATGTGGACTGTACTGCTTCGTCCTTTGAAATGTTCGACTGGATGAACTGCCTTTCTTTGGAGTTGGACGAAATTATTCATCGACTAAATGTTCTGCCTGTGCGGTAGGTTGTAATCTGTGGGTTTGTGTGTGTGTGTGTGTGTATGCGTGTGCGTGTGTGCGTGCGGTGCGTGTGCGTGTGTGTGCGTGCGTGCGTGTGTGTGTGTGTGTGTGTGTGTGTGTGTGTGTGTGTGTGTGTGCGCGCGCGCATACATGTTTCTACAGCGCGAGCTGACATAGCCGGCGGTTGGTCGGACACTCCACCCATCACGTATGAGCACGGTGGCTCTGTCACCAACGTGGCATTCATGGTCAAGGGCAAGGTAGGGACGCGACTGGTTGGCCAGTATGTGGCTGTGCATGGTTGGACGAACATGTACATGTATGTCAGGTGATGATGAGTCCACAAAGGACGAAACGGCATGCTGTCTGCAGATTGAGTAGGTCAGGTACATGTACAGCGAAACTTCATTAGACCATACCTCCAAGAGTCGTAAAATTAGTCCTTTATACCTTTATAATATAACCAAGGTACCGTAATGTCGCGTATAAAAGCAGGTGCTTACGGCCGTATAAGCCGATGTCAGTGCTAGGCTTCTATTCAAGTCACGTATCTCTATGTATGTCAACACTGAACCAGGCTTATGTGCTGACAGTGTATCTTAAAAATCAGGCTTGTAATCGAAACAGGCTTCTAAGTTATTCAAAACAGGCTTCTATACAAGACAGGCGTTTATACAAGACGCTACAGTACTCTATATCGAAACGTCAAATGACTGGAAAGGGATCCCCGGGGTCCTCAAAAAGTGCTCAATATCCGATGGATAGAGACAAGTATGTTATAATTATCCTGAGTACTAGTATGTTGTACTTTAGTTTCACTGTATGTGTCATGGTATATGCTAGCCTTGCTTGTGAGTTTTACAAGGCGGAGGGCCTACTGTTTTCCTTACAGTCTGTCCTCCGCTGCATGTTGTGATGTCATCATCATACCTATGTATATGGCATGTAACGTTGTGTCCGGTTTACTGTAGTAGGTTAGGCTCTTGGTTCTTTGCAGTTATGTCCGTTGTGCTGGTTGACTAGTATTGCAAGTTGAGCTATTGTTCTGTGCATGCCAGTACAGTGTGCTGCAGCATACTTTGGTGGCATAGCACGAACTGTGTTTCTGTGTCCTGTTTGCTCCTCGTGTTATCTTGCAGCGGCCGATCGGAGCCAAAGTCAAGCGTATCGAAGAGTAAGCAAAGCTGCTAGTACATGTAGTCGACCTACATGTAGGTCCTAATCCATTCGCCACCACTGACTTGAATAGAACTAAGCTAGCTTGGCGAGTTCGATGCATTTTTATAACCCTGATGATGGGCTAGGCCCGAAAATTTGGTGTAATATAAACTTGAATCGCAGCAAAGAGACCGTTTTGGAGCTGCACATCATCCTCTACCAAAAAAACAAACACTGGAACTGGAATCCGCAGCAACAACTGACGACGAAACCGATTGCTGGAATGCCAGTAAGATTACAGAGAAAATCCCTCTGATTCTAACCCTGGACAGTGCAGAACAAGACTTCAAATTATCCGAATGTTCTATTATTCCAACTACAGCACATGCACACACTCACAGAGAAATAGATCCGTCCCAAGAAACACTGTGAATTGAGATTAATGGTATGCCACTGTAGTTTGTGCTGTGTCACTCTGCCCTCACTGGGTGAGTGTGTGGCGCTGTGGTGATACCCTCACGATGACCTGCACTCTCGTGCTGTTGAATGCGTAGGCCGCTGCTTCGCCTGTGCCTGGTCAGCGCGCAGCCGATTGTCGTGGAGTGCAAAGAGCTGAGCGACATGGAGGACTACTGCATTCCAACTGCCAAGGGTGAGCATGATGTCATGGAGAGCAGCATGGGATATATTTCACCTGTGACTTACTGCGTACTGCATACTGCTGGCTGTGCCGCTTTGGTGTGGTGTACTACTGCATAGTGTTCCTCATTGCAGCTGCTCTGACGTGCCGGTTTGCAAACGCCAGAGGTTGTAGCGCGGGGTGTGCTTGTATGCGGGTGCATGCAGGTGTATACGCTCAATGCGCAATGGCGTAGCTTGTACCACCGACACGACACCCCATGCAACAGTGCATTCCTGACTCCAGCATGCTCACATGCATTACCCATACCTTCCATGTCTGGCAATGTGCAATAAGCGCTTCTTTGGAGGTGATTACAATCATACAATGATATGTACATGTAAGTGATTGTTCATGATGCGACGTGCTGTAACATTTCTTGTTTCTTGTCTGACTGTCTGCATAGCTGCTCTCCTCAAGACGGCCTTCTACTGCATGAAGGTGGTCGACTTGCAGTCCAGTGTGTCCCTGCGTGACCAGCTCATGTCTAGCTATGGCGGTGGCTTTGAGCTGCACACCTGGTCTGATCTGCCTTCTGGCTCAGGTACCGTATGATGTGTAGTGGTATGCGTGTCCGTGTGCGTGAGTGCATCATGTGTACTTCTGAAGCATACTGAATGGAGGTTGGGTGAAGGTGGATGTGTGTGTGTGGGGGGGGGGGGGGGGGGGGGGTAGTAAAGCACCTTGTGTTCTCATGGTTGTACAGTGTAGATGAGCACGTAGAGAATTCTTTGTTGTCTGTTGACTACAGTCATATAGCAAGTCTTCTGCCGGGCAAAGTGTGTGTGTGCCATGGTCTTTGCCGGTAATCAGGCATGGTGGCGATGTTTCTCAGCCTTTGCGCAGTGTATCCTTATGCATGTTGTTTGTTGTTGTTTGTTGTTGGTGCAGGTCTTGGGACAAGCAGCATCCTGGCAGGTGTTGTCATTGCGGCCATCTTGAAGGTGGTTGGTCATGCTGTTGACAAGGATGCAGTCACTCACATGGTCAGTACTAGTATGTAGACCTCTCCAGGGAGTTTCTCGTTAGAGTTTCATTTGGTCCTGCAGAGACTATTATAGTAGTTGGACCACTGTGGCACGTTTGGATCCTAACTACACTCACTGTCGTTCATCTTGTATGTCTTCGGTGGAATAATAATAAGGATTGTGTCTACTTGTACTTTGATTTCCTTTCTGTTTGCTTCCTTGCGCTCTGCAGGTCCTCATGGTAGAGCAGATGTTGACAACGGGTGGTGGATGGCAAGACCAAGCTGGTGGTATGTTGAGTGCTTCATTTGCTATGCTTGTTGTATGCCATTGGGATTGCCTTGTGGTGGCACAGTCTCCCTTATGTTGCCAAAATAAGCGTTGTGCTCCCTTCTACTGCCATTGCCGGAATGTTCGTCTTGTTCCTGTTATGTTGTCTTCTGATATGATTACATGTGTATAGGATAACGAAAGTTGTTAGTGTGGGTGTTTGTGGCAGTCATGGAGGCCCTGTTCCTGAACGGATGTAGCTGTCCCTGCCTGTTGTTACAGCTCTGTGTTGTCTTTTGAGGGGGGTGTCTGCCCTGTGCCCTGTGTGCATTCAACTCCATTGGGAACAGCAGTTTTGAATGCATTGCCTTGATGTATTTGAAACTCCATACTTGTCATGGGACATGAGAAGTCATTGCTGCTGATCTTGCTGTGGTTGCCTGCAGGTTTGTTTGGCGGAGTGAAGATCTCTCGTTCGCCACGTCAGCTACCACTCCGTGTCGAGGTCGAGCCACTGAGTATGTTCACTGTCCATGCTCTCTCCGTGTGTGTGTGTGTGTGTGTGTGTGTGTGTGTGTGTGTGTGTGCGTGCGTGTGTGCGCGCGTGTGTGTGTATGTCAAGAAACCATACTTGCAGCATATCCCCACCCTTCCTTCCCTTTCTTCTCATCAAGATGCAGAACTGCTGGCCACATTCCGATGTTTAGAACTGCCAGTTCTGAGGCTGTGCTGTGTGTGGTGTGGGCTGTGTTGATATAGATCTAAGCGAGGAGACGCTGAGAGAGTTCAACCGACGGTTCGTTGTCATCTACACGGGTCGCACTCGCTTGGCCAGGAACATTCTTCAGGTCAGTCGCGTGGTGGTAGTGTGCTACTGTGTGCTATCCCCGATGAACAAGTCTACAGATGTCGCTTGAGTCTCCTCTGTCAATACCCTTGTTATCCCATGGCCCCGTTGTGCAGAGCTGCTCCTGTATAATTGTTGTAGTTGCCTACAGGAAAAGAATCATGTGCGTTGCAGTGCTGCTTCAAGACTTAACCCGCATTTACCAGGCGTCCTTAGTAGGTCAGGGGTGTCGGACACGCTACGGTCACTACGGTATTGACCGTACTGCGATTTGCCCCAGCTGCCCCGCAAATCAATAAATTGCCCTGATTTGGGCTCTAAATTTTCTTTTTTCGGCAGGGGCCCCTTTCCCTTTCCACCTCGAGTATACCTCAGAAGGCTGACCCCTTCCCTTTCCACCTCGAGTATACCTCAGAAGGCTGACCCCTTCCCTTTCCACCTCGAGTATACCTCAGAAGGCTGACCCCTTCCCTTTCCACCTCGAGTATACCTCAGAAGGCTGACCCCTTCCCTTTCCACCTCGAGTATACCTCAGAAGGCTGACCCCTTCCCTTTCCACCTCGAGTATACCTCAGAAGGCTGACCGGATCATCCCACAAATACCTTCCGACGCCCCTGTATGTGCTCTGGTCTGTTGTGCTGGGCATGCTCACCGGCCACTGCCCACACATACGAGTACGTCGTAACTTTTTGACTTTCTCCGGCTATTCTTCTGAAATCCGCTTGGTCGTGTTCTCTTCCTCCGTTGCCACTGATGTGTGTGTTTCTGTCAACAAGTTACTTCGGCTGGACTGCCGCTGCTGGTGTAGGAGGTGCAGACCGCCGCTGCTGGTGTAGGATGTACAGTCTTGTATGGCTGGGTGTACTTGTAATTATTAGGACTAGTTCAGTAAAACCTGGTTTAAGCGACCACCCCACGGTGCAAGGAAAAGCGGTCGTTAAAGCCAGGTGGTCTTTAGAACCAGGTCCCACAGTGTCTGTGTAGAACTGTCCGGGCATGGAAAAACGGTCGTTAAGAGCAGGTGGTCGCTAAAACGAGAGGTCGCTTACACCAGGTTTTACTGTAATTATATGCACTGGTAGTAGTGGAAAAAATATTGACCCGAGTCTCCCCCGCTGTTCTTGTGCTGCACACAGGAAGTGATCCGTAGCTGGTATGGCCAACTGCCGCGCATCGTCAACACCGCCAAGGCTCTGGTCGCAGGCAGTGAGGAATGCGCAGAGGCCTTCCGCCAGGGTAGGTAGCTGGCAACCTACCAGTCGCGGATACACCGCGATCCCTGAGCATGTACAGTTGATGTGTATGCCTGGTATTGTACGTCTGAGTGCGTTCCTTGGGCACATAGCAAGTCCTATGCATGATTGACTTTACAAGTGGGAAATTGTCACATGCAGATTGCAGATATTCCCCGCCACTCCTCACATAAACCAATGACGCGTAATGAGTTTTCCTGTGACTACAGTTTACCCACCATGGAGCCGTGTATACTGCAGACTAACTGAGCAGTACTACAACTGGCAGGGGGTCGGCCATGATTGCTCTGTTGTTTCATTCACTCTCCACATCATACATATCCTCTTCTTGATGACATCGACTGTTCTGCTCAATTTGCTGGACTTGCACAGGTGATCTGGAGAAGGTCGGTGCCTGCATGTCTCGCTACTGGGAGCAGAAGAAGGTCATGGCTTACGGTAAGCATCGCATGGATGGATACATTCGTGTATTGATGTTTGCAATCTTGTGTGAAACACTACCTTATTATGGCTATTTTACCTTCTACATCTTCCTCAAGCTTTTTGAATCCTTTTGAATAATTTGCCACCTCAATAATAGGCATGCTTGTGGATGCAGTGGCAGTGCCGTACCTGAATCTGGTCTGACCGATGTAGGTGTTTTGCTCTAACCTTGTCGTCGCATGGGTTAAATTTTAAAGTACTTACAAGTTACTAGTACAGTCAACCTTGTAGATAACTACAGTCAGTCAGAGTTTAGAGTGACTGGCCGAACCGATCGCAATTACCGGGTACAGTCACACCTCGCTTATCCGGTCCTCGTTTATCCGGATCCCTCGCCATCCGCAAGAAAATCGCATGTTACCGATGTGCAGCATATGTTATGCATACAACATAACCGGACCTCGCGATCCGCATACCGGTGCATGATTTTGTTTACAAACTGGTTAAAATGTGTACAAAAAGCTTCGTCGTATCCGGTTGCGTGTGGCTTGCAGAAGCTAGAATCAGGGAGGTGTACAGGCAAATGAGGTCCTTGACCTGCTGGGTGCATGTGGACAGCACTCAGTTGCATGCACTTGTCATTTTTCTCGCTTGTTTTACATACTGTGCACGCTAGTTGTACTGCATAGGACCCGTCTACATGTATGTACGATGTCACTGCTTTTGACATGCCACATGCATATACAGTATGTGTGTTCAGTTATCCGGTTCCCTCGCCTACTGTAAGACATGTATATAATTATAACGAGGAAGCAAATCTAACGTTTTAACGGATGACATTTCTTCGTTATAATAAGATCCGTTGAGGCCGTACTGCTTCATATATGCTGTGTGTGGATATGGCAGAATACTGCAAGATCGTTAACATGTCTTACAGTATCCGGATATTTTTGTGGAAAACAGATGTGTGTGGTTAAGCGAGGTCTGACTGTACCCTCGATCGGGCATGAGAAAAGTGTCATTATTTGCTGGTTGTTGTTATACCGGCGGTTGTTATTCGCGAGGTGGACTGTATTGCGAGCGTTTCCTGGCAAGTGGGAGTCTTCCTGTGCCCTGCATGCAAAGTGTATCTTTTCTCGTTTGTTGCATGCTCTGCAGGTTGTGAGCCCGACACCGTGCGCCAGTTCATGAAGGCGCTCAAGCCCCACGTCTACGGTGAGTGCGTCCGATGCATTCATTCCGTAATCTCAAGACCGTCTTCATTGTCTCGCTGCATGACATTTTTTCCATCTGTTGAGCAGAATCTTGTGTGCAATTTCAAGTTCAGATGCTGTTATTTCTGGTGTAACCCTGCTATCGAGGATGCTAGCTCCCATATAAGGAGGATTTGACGTCATTACATATCCTGTACAACAATGTCGTAATTCCATAATACTCTTGCTGCCTTTGATCCCTTGAAGGTGGTGGCGTTCCTACGGATGCAGAAGGCTCGGTCTAACTGAGTATGACGCTAACCGTGATGTTTTTTCAAACTTTTTTGCTTCTTGCTTTTGCTGCCTTTGGTGTTCTGCATACAGGTCAGTCGATGGCCGGTGCTGGCGGCGGAGGTTTCATGTACGTGCTCATGAAGGAGCCAGACACCGGCGCAGAGGTTGCCAAGCGTGTCCTGGACGAAAGCAACGTAAGCGTTAATGCTGCGTTGCTTTGCTCATCCCTCGATGGCCACTGTCATCAACACGCCCAGGAGCGTGCGCCTGTAGTCCATGGGGTCTGCAAGAGCAGACGTTCACGTCACATGACCGAACAGTGTACCATGCTGAGCTTTAGGGACATGATAGACGTAGAGTTGGATCAAGAGTACTTGAGATCCAGAATGTGCAGCTCGAATGGGTTGCTGTCATGGCAAAATTCCAGGATTACATCATTTTAGTGATGTAGTGCGCATACAAGCAGGATTCAAACAGGTCTCCTGCTGCACGACTGCAGCTCAGTTGCACGCACTATTCCACTTCCCGGCACCTATCTGCATCAAATAATCATGGTGAAATCCAGGAATTTTGCCGCAACGGATACCCCTGCAGAAAAGTCAGAAGTTGCACACTCTCGGTTTCATGTACTCTTGGTGGTATACAACACTTGTTTGTGTTCAACTCACTTGTGGCTACTTTGCACTGTTTGCCAGTTTAACCTATTTAACTGTCATGTGGCACTCAATCTCCTGACAGCTAGCTGTTTCCACCTTGTCAGGTCTCGGCAGTGGAGCTCAAAGTGACTGGCCGAACCGATCGCAATGAAGTCTGTTGAACAACAAAGCATTTTTTAAACCGGCTGAAAGCGCCAACATCAGGCTGCTCTAACTGCGATAAACACAGCGAGCTTTGCACGAGGGCAGATACCTCTGACGCTAACCAGAAAGCGTGTCGAGCAAGCCGGTGCGAGTGAGAGCGTATTACTTCTGACGTACTCGAATGTTGCGTGATGTGAAGCTCTGCCGTATTGCAGCACTCGCTAGTGCACACAGTACTGCCCCAGATATTTCAATGGTTAAGAGCGCGCTGCTCTCTTCCTCTTCTGCGAGACAGCATCACTGAGCACCGTCATGATAGTGAGGACAACCCATAACTTACCATATTGTCTGGAAGCGGGCCCGGCGCCCGGGTATGCCTGTCTGAAATAAGCGACAGTATTTCGGGGCTTTTGCGTATTTTTTTCAAGTTGGGTGAAAGTCTAGAGCCCACACGCTAAGTGCCTCGGCCGCCAGTGCAATGTGCATGCATGTATTGCCAGAAATACGGTGTACAGTTGTGTGCAGCTTGTTGAGGCATTTTGGGCAGTCGAAAAAATAATAATTAATGTTTCTTGCCAACCACCCTGCTGCAGAAGTTTATGAATTGATACTTTATTCGTATTGAGTGTGTGTATCTGCTGTCTGTCTGTGTGTGCAGATCACATCGTTTGAAGTGTACGGCTAAATTAATGTTTCTTGCCAACCACCCTGCTGCAGAAGTTTATGAATTGATACTTTATTCGTATTGAGTGTGTGTATCTGCTGTCTGTCTGTGTGTGGGTGTGTGTGCAGATCACATCGTTTGAAGTGTACGGCTCAGCACTCGACCCTAATGGCCTCTGGATAGAAGTGGAGCAATAAGCAAAAGGTGGCGCTGTTATTGTCCCGCGACAGTCAAACACAGCACGGCACCTCCATTATCATCATCAGCCTTTAGTCTTTTACGCGGCATAGCTACATTGGTAAACAACCACACCTCACACACCACGATTTATGAGGTGACTGATGCCGTGTTGCATGCTCAAGATTCACTAACTTTTGCTAACAATTAAACATTATAATTTCCTTCATAGGCTTTCAATTTACAAGCCCCCCCCCCCCCCCCCCCCCCGGGTTTCAATTCAGATCATGTCTAGTATTTCCAGTTTTTTTTTCCAGTAGCAGCACCCACACAATCGTCATGCCAAGATGCTTATGTCTTGCACCGCTAGCAGCACCCGCACCTGTCTAGATATGTTGTTTACTCTTCTTTATTAGTATGAAACGGTTTACTTTTTATGAGGTAAGAAAATGTATGCAGCAACAGTATTCTCAGTTTTGGAATAAAAACTGTTTCATAAGCAGGAGAGAGAGCGAACTGGTCGCCGTGAACTGTTGCTGGTTGTTGATGTTGATGTCGTTCTCGTTCTCATGGTTGTAGGAGGTTGTCGCCATGGGTGGTGGTGGGTGGCTTTCACCGTCTCCGCTGCTGATTTAGGACTGGCAGTACGGCTGCGCACGCACAAACAACACAGAACGAAAGATAGTATAAAGGCCGATTCACAATACAACTTTCTGCGACGCGACACGCGATTTGCGACAGTTGCGACAAGAAACTGCCTGTCGCGAGCTGTCGCAAGCTGTCGCAATGCACCTGTCGCAGAAGTTGAAGAAAGTTCAACTTTTGCGACATGCGACACGCGACATACACAAATGGAGTACAGTTTCGACCCTGGGTGCACGTGCAGTGCATAGTACTACTTGTGCATGTGCATGAGGATGTCGCAAACATGAAGAATATTGTGAACCGTGTGTCGCTGTCGCAGCTCGTCGCATGCGTCGCAAGTCGCATGTCGCGTCGCAGAAAGTTGTATTGTGAATCGGCCTTTAGGACAACCAAGCAGCTTGCCGCAAGACACGGTGGTGCTTTGTGTGACGTAGGAAGTCCATCACAGCTTACGTCACTGCAAAATTGGGCGGCTTTCCATCATAAACTGTCCTGAATGTCCTCAACTGGGGTTCGAACCGCACCATGTACTGTTGTGCAAGTGGAGTTAACGGCCTGGATTTTAATGGTTTCCCCCCAGTTCAGTGCTTTGGGGGCAAAACCTGGCCGAAATCCTATTCTTGCTATGCCTTGCTTTTTGGAGAAATAGACTTCAGAAACATAATTGGAAGAGCATTCGATGGAGGATTGCCGAAAAAAGTATCATCTTTTTACGAAAGGAATGTAGTCTCGGTAATCGAAGCTTCAATGAGTGACATTCTGAATTTGTGTGCTTGACTTTGTGTGACTACTGGTATGAGGTGTACTGTTAGGCGACTGCAGACACGTGTGTGCAAAGTGTTGGCAATGTAGGTCTAGGGCTGCACAGCGCCCGGTGGGTACTTGACTCGAGCGATCGGATTTCAACGAGCGCACTGTACCATAGTAAGTATTAGTGTACAATGCACGTAAAAAAGTATACTCACTGTCAAGATCCAACTGCTCAACAAGCTTTTTCGGCTTGCTTGCTGGTGCTTCCTTCTTGCCAACAAAGATGGTGCCATCAGCCTGCTTCTTCCAGCTGTTAGCCTCGATCAGCGCCTCCAGCTGTTCATCTGCACCGATACGAGGGTCAGGAATGTAAAAACGCACACGAGTCATCGCACAATAATACAGGAACTATGGGCACACACGCACATCTCTGAAGAGATGATAGAGAACAAGCTCTGTTAGACATAGTAACTTGTAAGACCGCCACTAATTTTAGCCAGGTCTACACCACACAGCTGATTGAAGTGGCTTTTCTGGCCAGTGAATCACTATTTTTCATTTCTTCACATCACATCACACACACACACACACACACACACACACACACACACACACACACACTCTCTCTCTCTCTCTCTCTCTCTCCTTTGTTCAGGAACACCTTATTCTGTGCACATCTCGCAGAGAGTGGCTGCCTTGATAAAAAAAAAACCATGCAGAATAGTTCCGTACAAAGCGGAAGGCATGCAAGTCAGACGATGAAGAGAGACTTACCAGATACATTACCAAGCTGTTCGACAAGCTGAGAGCTTGGAATAGACTGGAACGTAATGGTGATCACCTGGCACACGTCTGTTTATCAGAAAGCAACGCAGACAGAAGAAACTACTCGCATCGCCATTCGAATCATGCACATTGGTGCACATATTAGTTTAGTGTAGTCTCATTCAGGAATCAGACACAGCTCTTCGTGCTGCACCACGAGAAAGAAGAGACGGCAGGTACACTCATACCTCGTTTATCCGGGACCGGGCACTGCCCGTAACTTTGAAATATCCGTAACTCCGAATCGCATACATTGTGATGGGGAAAGTACGTCACTATCTCCACAAAAGTGACAAAAAAGAGTGGTCATGTTTCCACTGAAACACACCCAAAGGGTGCCTGGTAGACCCAAGTGCCCAGAACTTCGGTGTCCAGATAACCGAGGTATGAGTGTACGTGTACAAGCAGCACAGTAGCACCATGCTTCGATTTAGCAATGCAATAATCCGCCGCATCAAGAAGGCTCAAGTCAACTAATACTTACATTGTCGAACGGCATTCTCGAATCCCTTCAGGCTCTGTGTCAGCTCGTTGAAGGTGACTACTTCGGTCTGCAATCACACAAATTACATTCATAATGATGCGGAAAGTGAGTGTGCATGCGTGCGTATCCAGCAGAGTTACGAACACCCCACCACCAACCAAGATACACTAAAACACATGTACGGTAATCGACAGTAAACAAATAAGCGCGCCGTACTACAATGCAGTGCACGCAAAGAGGAACACAAGTCAAGACCACTCATGCAGAATGCTTCCAAATTTGTCAACTCCACTTGGATTCATAGTGCAGAATAGGCATCAATGCCGCATCATAATATATGCCAGTGCTGGCCAGTAAAATCCGGCAACCCATAGCACAGTTCCCATGTCTACCATGCAAACCGCATAGTACGGTTGTTACGTGCACCATGCAAACCAAAAGCCGAGTTCTCGAATTTCAACGACCAGTGTTGTAGCCATGCAGAGCAGCGGCGGCAGCAACTTACCCAGAAACGGGTAAAGTAGCAGGTCTCCAGCAGGTCAGCTAGGTAGATAGCTGTTGACACGCTGTCCTCGCGAAGCTGCAGTGCACGAACAACATGATGTCAGATGAGGCACAGCACATGAAATCACAGTCAGCACAGACGCCGGCATTGAAGGATACAGGGTATCGAAAACAGTAAATACACTCCAACCGGTTGCTTGTGGCCGAGTGCAGGCAGCACTGTTGCAGAGCTACAAATGCTCCCCATTGCCTGGCAGCAATTAAATGGAGACACCCCCAAAGTTCCACCACTGGACATAACGCACGGCTCAGCAGGCAATAGGAGAACCCCACATAGCCACTGACATGGCAAACACAACTCATTCTACACCCACACAAGTTAGCAATGGAACTTGGCTGAAATAAGCTGTACCTCGAGAGCTTCAGCTCTGAATTACAGCTTAGTTCAGTCTAGTTCCACGACCAGTGCTAACTCGTGTTTTGGCTCTGCCCTCGTGATCCAGCACTTCTAGCGAGGGTTTAGCAACATAGCTAGTGTCATTCTACACCCATAGCAGGCACATAGCACCGCCGTTGGCGGCGGTCCGGGGGGGGGGGGGGGGATCTCCCCCCTGAATTGTTTTGAAATTAGGGTGCAAAATCCTGCATTCTGGGCACTTTCGGCATTGTTTTACTATGGTGGTCGTGCGAAAAAGTGGTCCGGCCGGAGCGGCTGCTACGCCCCTGCATAGAGATTTGATACGCGACCAAACGCAGCCAGCACTCACAAAGGCTTCTGGCAGGATGGCTTTGCACATGCTAAAGTCGATAGAGGGCAGGTTCATCAGCGCCTTGAGTAGAATCGTAGCCGCCACATCAGCACGGAATGAAGCGGGGTTGAACTGGTATCTACAGGGTGCAACGGGGTAAACAAAGAGAGCACAACAAACAGAAGTACAAACATGGGTTTTGTTAGCAATACAAGTAACTAGACTGGCCATGAAGCATGGCGGGACACCAGTAAGCAATACGATAGCTACTACTTTTTTTATGTGACGGAACTCGACATGTCTTAAGGGGCCGTCCGTAAATATCGAACTTTTTTCACCAAACGAATTATTTTAGTTTAGACCCAACCCCTCCCTCCCTCCCCCTCAGAACGTAAAAATTGTTGACATATACATGCATATACAACAAAAGTCGCAAGTGTGTCATTGCTCATATGGCCATGTACATGTATCGAACTTTTCTGAAACGAAATTGGTCAATCCCCTCCCACCCCATAACGAAATTATTTCGTTTCGTGAAAAAAGTTCGATAATTATGGACGACCCCTAAGAAGTTGGAAACAGCTCAGCGCGTTTGTCCAACTCTACTGCCGCTACAGTGCCGTGCCAGTGCCGTGCCAAGAGGATGAAACGTTCCGGGTGCTGGCAAAGAAGGCACGGATAGATGTAGCTGATTAGGGGGGGAGGGGGGGGGGGAGGCTTACACTGCAGAAAATAACATGGTACTGCAGTCGTACTATAGCTGGGACACGGTATCATGATCTGGACGCAGTACTTGTCACGTGGAATGTTCCCAGACAATGACAACACAACATTCCTTGACAACAATACCATAGCTACGAACAAGTGCCTGAAACTAAGGGGTCGTCGCAAAAGTTTTTTGTCGTCCCTGAAACGAACATGATTCATTTGGGGGGGGGGGGGGGGGGGAGAGGGGTGCGAGCCAAAATCGCAAGTCGACCGACACTGTACATATGACATGTATATGCATGCGATTTTCGTCGTCCAGCATCGCAAGCTGTGTTCGTTTCAGAGGGAGGGGAGGGGGTCCAAGTACGAAATGAATGATGTTCGTTTCAGGGACGACAGAAAACTTTTGCGACGACCTCTAAGATAAGAGATAAACACACCCACGACTCCAATCAAATCAGATATTTAGCACACTCTCATTGCCGTACTTTCTTCAGAACAGCAGGGATCCATCATTGCACACATGGTGAAGAGGGCATTCTACGCATGCTGCATCAGAAGAGATATTCGAAAATATTCGAAAATGAGCCATGCACCTAGCCAAGTCAAAGTGGAATTTTTGGGCTGTTGGGGCTCACGTGAACACACCCAGAACTGCATTGCTTCGTGAGTATGCAGTGTTGCACATGATCATCATTTTTTCTCACATGAATAAATCGACACAGGACTTCGTCAAGAACTGTAACATGCAATCGTCACTGATGAAAGTACATAGCATGACCAGAACGTCCTAAGGTATACGTGTACCCTACGTAATAACTATTTTACTTCCATGACGTCTAATAAGGTACGTGTGCACATTTCAGACAGGATAAATGCAAAATTAACTGAGAAAGTGGTCATAACTTTCAATGATTATAAAAAATCAAAAAGTAACATCGAGACTCACAGTTTCAACACTGCCAGGTTGGCCTCGAAATCATACTCTCCCGTCGATGCCTGCAAGAGTATCAAGGCATAGCCACCATACACACTGGTCTTGTCTGGAACATTTCTGAGTGGCAATAGCATCTATGAATGACTACACATACCTGTAATTCCACATATTTCTCCCATACAGGCAAGTTTGTGGGGTTGTAACTGCAACATCAGCAAAGGAAACACGTTTCCAGCAAATTCTACGGTGCATATTCGTCCAATACCATTGTCTCACCGGTCAATGCCATCCAGAACCCCAGCAATCTGCCCTCGAATATCGAGAAGTTGTTCTTGTTCCGACGCCATTTCTCCTACAATGATAACATTGTTTTTTTGTTTCTTTTCCGTACCTCATCATGAAAATCGCTTGATTCGTAAAAATGAGAAAAGCTGGGTGCGAGGTCAGTGCACTGACGTAATCATCGCATGCTTTTTTTGCGAAAACATGCATCTGTCTTTTTCAAAAGAAATATTAAACACAGTCAGAAAGAAGCAATTATTATTTTGGAAGGTTTGAATCTGCTCTGCTACTAAAAGACGTTCTTGTTGCGATTAGATAGATCAGTTTGGACCATCGATTTCCTACGTTGTTCGTGTATCTCTGGCTGAAGGATGGCGGAGCGCAGAGTTGTTGGTGATGACGGTCAGATGTATATCCCTGCGTCTCGTCGTCCTGACGGCACGTACCGAAAGGAGAGACGAGTGAAAGAGGGCTACATTCCTCAGGAAGAAGTGGCTGCCTACGAGAGCAAAGGTGCGAAGTATACTCGCGAGGTAGCTGAGTTGCCACCGGCTGGCATGGCCCCAGCAGCCAGTGCATCTGCAACAGCGGGCATGTCCAAAGCCCAACGCAAGAACGAGAAGAGAAAGCAGAAAAGGAAGGCCGAGAAGGACTGTGACGAAACGGTGGAGAGTGTAACTAAGAGCTTAGCTGCTGCTAGTGTTTCCGCTGCACCGCCAGCGACTGATGCTGCTTCAGCAGGTGCAAGAAGTGCAAGTGTGAAAAGTGACGTGGACAAGCCTGCGCTGGAAAAACGGTTGAAAGCTTTGCGGAAGCGGCTGAGACAAATCGACGACCTCCTGAAGAAGAGAGATGGCGGAGTCAAGCTGGAAAAGGAACAGTTGGAAAAGGTTGAATGCAGGGAGGATGTACTGGATGAAATATTTGCCGTGGAAGAGAAGCTAAAGTGAGCCTGATTCAAATGCCTTCATTGAATTTGAACCCGCTGTTAGATATATACTAAAGCAACACCCATTATAGGTGGCCTTTGGAAGGGAACACGTGAGGTTGAGCAGTATGGCAGCGATTGAAAGAGCTCAAGCAGTGATAGCTTGATGGAGTTGCTTGCCAATCGGGCACCGTCCCCAAGCAGATTTTTTTTTTATCGACAAGGAGGAAGGCTTCCGATGTCCGCGTAATAAAGCATGCGCTGGCCACTGTCATGTCGGGACGATTGCTGCGGTTGACAATGCTCAGAATATGAGGATTTCCTCTGGTGATCATGAGAGCAATGATGCCTCCCAGGCGTCGCAGGGCTGTCGGTGGATCACTGGTGCAAGAAATACGAAGCACTCCGCCGGCTCTGATGATGAATGTATTGTCTTGCCTTTGTAATCATGAGAACTGCATATAGAACTATCCAGTTCTTTCTACTTGAAGTACACTTACCCCCTCTCCATATGTTCCAATTATTTTGCCATTTGTAGGTGGTTCTACCGTCTCTTTTGTCTATGCATCCCCGCCATCCCGTGGCAATACGCGAACTGTGAACAGGCCTTTACTTCTGGCTGTATAACTGGTATATGCAGACAGATGAGTACATCAAGGCTTGCTGTGGCTATACTTGTGCTTCAAAGCAGGGAGTAGTAAAATATTCGAAGTGTATTACAGAGGTTTTATTAATGAATACTGTAAAACCGGCAATTTTTGGTGGTGATATTTTCGTTATTTCCCAAAATCAACGGTTCGGTAGCGCGAAAATATTGGTAAACCGATTTTCCAGATTCAGAAATGCATTCTGCACACTGTGTGGCATGGTTGAATTTTAGGTCGCATTTCATTTTAGGTAAAAATAACCTGTACCGAAGTTACCGAAAATAAATCTCCACCGAAATTTTCCGGTTTTACAGCACAGTCTGGGTCAGAGTAGTAAAATACCGGTATTTTTCTACTCCCTGGTCTGTACACAATTTTTTTATTTTTTTTTTATTTTTTTTATTTTTTTTTTACAAATAATCTACGTGGAGATAAAAGTTTAATAATAGCAATGAAAAGTATGAATGCCGCAGACATCACCACGCAACATGACAATTTGTTCAAGGTTTGGTTTTGTGTGTTTCCAAAATCGATTTTCACGTTCCGATCATCAGTGGAAATACGGAACTAAAGAGATCAAGGGAAAAACAAAGGTTAAAAATCCAAAGAAGTGTGACACATGACGGGTAACTTGTGGTAAGTTTTACAAAAAGTGAGAACTAAAATAAAGAGTAAGTGTGACAAACGGGCATGAACAGTGCAGAAACAACTCATGAACACGGGGTGCAAACTCACGAAAATAACCTAAGTGCTAAAACATGTTCTTTTTGCTTACACAAATCGGGCTTATGCGTACGAATACAAACAGCTTCAAGGACCTTCAACTGCTGGACATAACGGGCACGACACAGTACAGAGAAGTGGGAATCATCATACACACTCAAACAATCGGGACGAGATAACAAATGCAAATACACAGCTGACTTCTTACGAATTTCACCCTCATCAGCTCCATCACCTTCCCTGCCACCTGACTCCTCCTCGTCCGTTTTATCACCATCACCACCAGCCGTCTCACCGTCATCCGCCTCGTCTTCATCCGCCGCCTCGTCATCACCCGCCTCGTCGTCATCTGTATCCTCGCCGTCATCCGCCTCGTCGTCATCTGTATTCTCGTCATCCGCCGCATCATCACCCAACTCATATTCACCACCAGTCAGTCGTCTGATACCATCCATGTTCTCCTTCCTACGTCTGTCCCGTGTCACTGTCTTTACCTCATCTACGTCCCGAGATTGTGTTCCGTTTTGCCCCCGGCTTCCGGTCTCCTTCGATGCTCCGCGTGGGCCTTGGCCATTCCTAGCATATATTTCGGTTGAATAATTGGCGGTCGACCTCCGTGGTCTCTGGACCCACGGATCAAGCGCCGGAGGGTGCTGCGGTGTCCGCACAGCCGGATACTGTGTCAAAGAAATGGGCTCAATGTCTGTGATTGGCGGTACTGTTGTTGTTGCCGACTCCTCCCAAACCCCAGCCACCAACGGCACTGGTGGTGGCTCCGGTGGCGGCACGGGCAACGGTGGAGAAGGCACATTCGGTTGGCTTAGTGATCCACCACTCTTCCTCTGCACCGTGTGTTCGACTTGCTCTGGTTGTGTCGGTGGTAGAGGGAGCGGGTTCTTGCGTGGTCTTCCCCGCTTCGGGCGCTTCGCTTTTGCTGCGTCCGGCAGCATGTGAAGTGGTACATGCTGCTTGATACGTGCGCTCAGGTGTTGAAGGGTCCTACCAACGTACCGGCTATCACAATTCCGGCACTCAAATTGGTAGACCAAGTGGCTCAATAGGTGGGATGGTAGGACATCCTTCCTCACCGTGAACGCACGTATCGTAGTGAACACAGGGATGAAGTGCGCCGCAAAGTATGTTTGTGTAACTAGCGTTTTGATTGTGCGGCACAATGTCTGTGATGCCTCTCCTTTCCAAGGTAAGGAAAGGTAGACTGGGCAACGACTTGGACCAATGATGACGACCTTTGGTTTTGATGCTGATTTTAGTAGCTTGTTTAGCAGTTCCTCCGGGTAACCATTTTTGAGAAACACAGATTTCAGAAAACCTAGCTCATCCTTGAGTCGAGAGGGGGAACAGATTCGCCGCGCTCTATCCACCAGATTCTTCACCAGGTTGACCTTATACAGGTACGAACAATACGAGTCAAACACGATATATTGTCCGGTAAATGTTGGTTTCCTGTATATTGACGTTACAATTTCATCGTTTGACTTCTCCACACGCACATCTAGAAAGGACAAGGTGTTGTTCTGTTCATGCTCAACCGTGAATTTCAGAGAGGGATGTAAGTTATTCAATCGGTCCAAGAAGGCGTCACACTGTTGTACTGAATCAAAATATGTGAACGAGTCGTCGACAAAACGAACGTAAAACTCCGGCCACAGTGACGGGTCCACAAGAGATTCGCAGTAGCCAACAAATATATTTGCCAACACTGGACCTAATGGTGATCCCATGGCTACCCCATCCACCTGCCTATACATCACGTTATCAAATGAAAACTCAACGCCCGTAGTAACAAGAGACATCAGTGTACGGAAGGAGGATTCAGGCAGCCATGGCGTGTCAACAGAGTTATTGTGATAGAGAACATCCGCACAAATATCTATGGTCTGTTCCAACGGTACATTCGTGAACAAACTGACCACATCAAATGAGCACATGTGCGCTGTAGCGGGAATCTGGCGAGTGCGAATGAGGTCTACAAACTGGAAGCTATCCTTGACAATGTTCTTACAGTAATAATCTTGCACAGCTCCAAGCATCAAACAAAGCCACTTCGATACTTTGTACTGTGGGGATGCTACCATTGATAATATTGGGCGTAATGGACAATTCGGCTTATGGATCTTTGGCAAGCCATAGAGTCGCGGGCGGGCGGAGCCTATTGGCTTGATTCTCATGAACTCTGAGACCGAAATTTCTTTCTCAGCTTTCAATTTCTTTAGGTATGTTATCAGGCGTTTCTCTACTTTTGTTGTATTATCATGAGTGGAAACTGGTCCGAGTTTCACGAACTTGGAGTCATCGTTCAGGATAACCGCCATTTTTGATATGTACTCTGTTCGGCTCATTATGACCGTTGCGCGTCCTTTGTCCGGTCTGGTAATTAAGATATCATGATTGTTACTGAGTTCACGTCGGACTTTGAGGTGTTCACGGGACAGGTAAAATTTGCTGCGGTCCGGCGGTTTTGCAGCATGTTCTTCCGCAACCGCTCTGATACTGGCAGTGCATACAGCATATAGCATATATATATGAGACGGCTGGTGGTGATGGTGATAAAACGGACGAGGAGGAGTCAGGTGGCAGGGAAGGTGATGGAGCTGATGAGGGTGAAATTCGTAAGAAGTCAGCTGTGTATTTGCATTTGTTATCTCGTCCCGATTGTTTGAGTGTGTATGATGATTCCCACTTCTCTGTACTGTGTCGTGCCCGTTATGTCCAGCAGTTGAAGGTCCTTGAAGCTGTTTGTATTCGTACGCATAAGCCCGATTTGTGTAAGCAAAAAGAACATGTTTTAGCACTTAGGTTATTTTCGTGAGTTTGCACCCCGTGTTCATGAGTTGTTTCTGCACTGTTCATGCCCGTTTGTCACACTTACTCTTTATTTTAGTTCTCACTTTTTGTAAAACTTACCACAAGTTACCCGTCATGTGTCACACTTCTTTGGATTTTTAACCTTTGTTTTTCCCTTGATCTCTTTAGTTCCGTATTTCCACTGATGATCGGAACGTGAAAATCGATTTTGGAAACACACAAAACCAAACCTTGAACAAATTGTCATGTTGCGTGGTGATGTCTGCGGCATTCATACTTTTCATTGCTATTATTTTTTTTTTATTTTTTTTTTGAAAATACACAACTCTTTATTGCACTCAGAAAATAATAAGGCACCCATTTTGATAGTCCAGGGGATGGCCCAGCCGCCTGGTAAAAAGAATAAACAGAAAAAAAGAAAAAAAAGAAAATAATAAGGCACCCATTTTGATAATCCAGGGGATGGCCCACGCCTGGTAAAAAGAATAAAAATAGAAAAGAATCATGACTTTAGTTCAACAGTCCTGCAAGGAAACACGTGCCTCGGCTACCACTACAGACGCGGGGTCCCTGGTGACACGGTGTGCGGATGATGATCTTGCCCCACGAAGGCACATCACGCTAGCTCGGACTAATGCAAAGCTTAGCTTGCAGCGAAGCCATGCCATCGTCACGGAGTACGGCTCCTTCAGCTTGTCAGATAGCATGCTGGCAAGACGCTTGAACAGGGCCGATGCACACTTGCTAGTGCCACCAGTGGCTGACAGCACTACTGGCACGAACGTGGCGCGGTCAACCTCATGCAGACGCTGCTCATATCTCCGGCGTTTCTCCTTTTCATGACGTGCATACACTGAGGAAACTGAGGCAGCGCGATTTGAGGCAGCGTAGGGGTTGAAAACCCTTATATCAAGAAAGGTGCGCTCAAATCGGCCACCCCAGATTCCGTTGGCGGCAACATCAAGACGAGCCTGATCAGCGGTCGTTGTGGACAGAAGCCGGAATTTCTCTCCGGTGACTGGCTGCAGCATCGGCTCTGTGCACACACCATGCGTGACCTGACGCAGAACATCAGCCGTGAGGTCTCGAATTTCATTGTGTCGAATACTGGGGAATCCCCCAGTACTGCAGGACAAGGCATGGGTGACGTCAAAGTTACCATGGCCACAGACGCATCCTGATGGCAGGCGTGCTGGTGTCCACCCGTACCGGAGACAGAGGGCATCGCGAAACTCCGCCTTGGACAAACGAAATCCATGGATGGCTAGAGGGCGGCAGGTCAGCCAGCTGGAGGCCCCCTTCTCCGAAGCTAGGGTCAATTGCAGCTCAAGCTCTGCTCCAGCACCATCCTTGAAAGACTTCACGGCTGCCAGGAGGTTGGTTCGCAAAGTCGTACGTACCTCTGC